TCAGGGTCACCTCGAGTTGAAGGACAGAGCAGGCATCTGTCTGTACTGCTTCCGCATTTGAGAATTCTAGGAGGTCAGTGTTTGGAATTTGGACAATTTCTGGGTGGAAGAACACGGATGTCCTGTTAGTCTTATGTTATTATGAACTAGTATTTAATGCTGTATTTAGAGCTTGTCATATAAGACATTCTGCAGACTTTTGATTTATACTCTTCCCTCTTTTTCAATTTATTCTCCTTTTCTGAATTTCTGTGTGCATTTGACTTTTTGCTAAATTGAGGGAATTTAGTATTAACAGAAAGCCAAACAGACAAACCTATCCATTAATAATAGGCTTTCGTGTATATTTTAAAAGGTTTCTTAATGTCAGTGCGTAAAAACGGAGTATAAGGTGCTTGGGGATATTCCTGTGTCTTCAGCTTAGAGATTTTTGCCTTTCCAATACCTGAATTCTTTTCAGACTTCCTTTAAAGGACAGTTCCCTTATGAGGCCTGATCACCTATTGTGTTTCCTCTGTCTATCAAATATATATTATTTCAGAAATGTGGAATTGAGACTAGTAGGCAGGGTGGGGAAGAAGGAAGCAAAGCTCCCCAAGGGCCTCTGGGGGAGGTGCCTCGGTGTGGGATGGTGTGGGGACAGGCGTCGGAGGAGCTGCAATCCTGTTCCTGTAAATCACAGTGTGGAAACCAGTGTTACCTCAATACAAAGAAAATAAAGTCACCCATAATATCAACTGTATTTTGTAGGTTAGGTAGACTGAGTTTAAGTCTGTTTTAAGTTTAATTCCATTTAAAACTAAGATGCATCAGTTTCCATTTTGTGTCTATTTGTCAAAGCCAGCTGGATTTCTTATTTTGGAAAAAATAGATTCCTTGTCCCTGTTGTTCCTTTCTCAATTTGCTTTTCTTTACGTGCGCTGTACATCCAAAGAGTGGATCACTGCTTCACTGCTTTATGTAAACACAACATTTCAAAACATTGTGTAATACACTGTTTTGTGCGCTCTCTGGTAGGCTTATCAAGGTTTGTAATAATCTAAACAATTTCTTAGGCTTGCTGAAATTTGATGCTATCTATACAAAAAAATAGGATTATGGCACTTTCCCTTTAAGTTTTTTTAATTGTTGGAATAAAAATCAAGACTGAGACGAGTCATCTCTTAATATTTTCATGCTTTGAGATTTAGCTCCTTGGTTAATAATACAGCATCTGGACACCAGGCCACAGCGCGGCCTCCGGGCTGTTAGTCATCCCGGCTGCTCGCCCTTAACCATTTGTTTTCCCTCTGAACTCACGGTTAGAAGAACATTTATAAGTTACAGGAGCAAATTAATGATTTTTTTTTATTGTTCACTGTGACTTTCAAATTATAAATTATATGCAGATATTGTCTGGCCATAATCAATAATGCTGCATTCCTTTTATAAAGTCCTCTTAGCATCCTAAACTCCAGTCTAGCGAAACTTTGTTACATAATTTTTAAATTTCTTTGATTCAAAGCCATTTATTTAGATGCAGTACTAATTACTACAACACTCTGTCCGAGACCTGCTTTACCTCCCTCCTGCACACTTTTCTTGAATTTTTTTTACCTTTCCCCACTATTCAAAACCCCGGCATGCACTGATGTTTTCTAGAGCGGCACCTCCCGACTTCTGAGCTCAGCTCAGCGCCCGTGTGAGTCACCTGCAGACATTTCCCGGGGCTGTGCCATAGGCCCCTCACGTTCAGTGCCTTAAGAGTGAGACTCTTTCAAACAGCTGAGTGCCCGTCACTGAGTGTGTTTTCTGTGCCTCCTTGGCCTGCGGCCGCGAGCGACTTGCTTGTAGCCCGAGTCCGGGCGGCGGGGCCGTGCTGCAGTGAGCGCCGCGTGCAGCTTCGGGCCAGCGTTTCGTCGTCTTTGGATGGTTCTGGGCAGGGGTTGCTGGTCATATGGTTGTTCTAGTTTTCATTTTTTGAGGACCCGCCATCCTGGCTCCAGGAGGGCTGCCCGATTGGGCAGTGGGAGCGGCCCCTTTCCTCCACACCCCGCAGCACTTGTTGTTTCTGGGCTCTGGGGTTCGCCCGGCTGCCAGGTGGTGTTCGCTGTGGCTGCGAATGGCGTTTCCCTAGTAAGTGACGTCAGCATCTTCCCACTTGTGTGTTGATCATTCGTGTGTCCTCTTCAGAGAAGTGTCTGTTTGGACATTTTTTGACTGGGTTGTTTATATTGTCGTTGAGTTCATTATGTATTTTGCCTTTTGCGACAAGTGAATGGAAGTTGAGGTCTGAGTAAAATGAGGAGATGAGTGCCTGATGGTTTCACTCATGTGGAAGATAAACACGGCAAACAAACTCACAGGCACAAGGAAACAACTCTCAGTCTCTCACAAGTGAATGGCGGTTGCGGGCGCGGAAGAGGAAGAGGGTGGGTGGGAGCAGCTGGCAGAGGAGCGGGGTTTGGTGGTGGCTCATGGGCCTGGAGCTCGGCAGTGGGCGCGGTGTGGCATCTGCGTTTATGAAGTGTGACGCTGTTCTCCTGAAGAGGGGTATTCGCAGCAGTGGGACCTCAGTTTAAAAAAACAAAATGCTCAACTCCTTTTTACCTCCAGTCTTACAGAGTAATGCAGCATTTGTATCATTTTGTAAAGTATAGCATGAATTGATATCTTGAAAAATACAGTATAGTGTAAGCACTTGTTAGTTTTGCTTTCAAAATGCCCTTGCTTCACTAAATAAAAACTAATAGTAAGTGTGTGCTATGTTAATAAAGGTATAAAAAATGCAGAGTTAAAGCAGCCAAGGGCTGACCTGGACAGATTTTCTATGAATGAGGGTTGATAACTATTAAAAGTTTTAAGGGGACTCCCTGGTGGCACACGGGTTAAGTCACAGAGCTGTCAAGCTGTCGCCAGCCACTGCAGCACGGGCTCAAACCGGGCCAGGGAGCTGACCCACACAACGCAGCAGACCTCTCCTGTCTCCCCGCTGCTCCCCTCAGCAGTGTGTTTCAGTAGGTCCGACTTTCCTGCTCCCCCCTCTGTCTCTGGTGAATCCTCTCACCCCCCACCTCTGGCCTGAGCCCCAGTTCTTGTATGTATAATTAAATCTTTAAAAAAAAAGTTTTAAGAACTAGAAAAAGATTCCATCCTTAAAATGTTACTAATTTAAAAAATAAAAGTAATAGTTTTTGTATTTATAGCAGAAATCCCTGTAGACAGATAAAATCTTTCTTGATGAATCATAAAACAGATTACATACAATATAAACATGTACATAAATGTACATGTGCATATAAATCAAGTTGATAGTGTTCTTAGGAAAATTTGTATTAAAGTTGTTATTTTAAAATTTAATTTTAATTGATTTAGGAGATAGATTAGTTTTGAACACCTTTTTTTTGGTAAGTTGATTTTGGGTATGTTACTCTGTAAATATACTCTATTTCCTCAAATCTGCAGGCATACTATATAATATCATGTATTAAGGGAAAAAGTATGATGGAAGATGCAGCAAGACACACAAGTATTTATATACTTAGACTTTTTAGTGTATATTTCTTATGTTTATTGATACTTATTATTTTAAATCTTGATAGATTCAAAAATTGTTTAGTACTCATGCATAAAAACAAGGAAAATGTAAGTGAATCTATCAATAAATTTTTCTAAGACTTTTTCTTGTCACTTTTGATTATAAAACATGTTCTAATTTCAGAGATGTTAAAATATGAAGCATGTATTGTAGATTCAGTAGCACAGGCATTTCCCGAGTGGAGAATGAAGGCCTGGGCATTACCAGCACACGGAGGGAAGGACGTGTTGAAGCACATCACCTGGGAGGGTGGAAGGTGGGAGAGGAGACGAACGAGGAGCTTGGAGAAACAGTCACCTTTATTTATTTATTTTTATACAAGAGCTGAGGTACAGGCCACAGATGCGGGGGGTGAGAGGATCCACCAGAGACAGAGCAGGGAGCAGAACAGGCAGATTACAGAAATACACTGCGGAGGGGAGCAGCGGGCGCGACAGGAGAGGCCTGCCACGCCTTGTGGGATTCTTGCCAGCCGGCTGGGATCGAACCCACGCTGCAGAGGCTGCGGACAGCTTCACAGCGCGGCGCTCAACCCGCTGCCCCACCGGGGACGCCTGAAACAGTCACATTTTATGGAGTGAACCAAGTTCCAGAAGGGCTGATAGTGTCAGTCCTACCCCACCGGAAAGGAAGAGAGTGTATGTGCATACGTGTGCATGCGTGTGTGTGTGTGTGCACTTCAGACTTTGGGAATTAAATTAATAGAACTTTTTGGACTTGGAAGAAAAAGTGACGTTTACTTTTTTTGCATCAATTTTGAATGATTTTTTTTTTTTTTTGTGCCAGTATTATAAGCTAGGCAAATTAGGCTCCGTGTCAGATTAGTCTACATGCCTTTAGTTTTGTTAAATTTAAAACGCTGTTATTGTATGTGGCAAAGAAGTAGTCTTGAAATAGACTAAAATGAACATTTTTATTGCCAGTCTTTTATTTTTCTGTGGGAATCCTCTTAATGTGCCTTAAGGATCTTCCTTCAAAGACTCCATTTTATAAATGAGAAAAGCGGCGCAGAAAACTTCAGTGTTTTTCAAGACACACACATCAGTTCCTGGAAAAGGTTGGAATTGGGTGACTTGCCGCACCGGGTTCTGCCTGACGTGCTGGGCTGAGGCTGAGGGGGGGAGGCTTGTGGAGACCCGACAAGCTGGGCCACCGCGCTTCCTGCTACAGGGACACTCAGTGCAGGGTGGTCGTGGAGAGCAGTCGAGGACATGGCAAGTGTGGGAGCAGGGAAATGGATAAAATACTCTTAAATTTTGGAGAGACGTTATATGTGTGCTTCGTATCTTTAACATGCGGTCTGATTTTTTTTCTCTCTCCAATAACCTGAAAATGTATGAGCCTCTAAATATCAGTTTGATTTGATATATTGAGCATCGCTTCATACTTTAGAGTGACGTTCTGCTTATTTTTTTTTCCATAGAAAAAATGAACACCCCAAGCCAGCCTCCACACAGAGACACTGGGAAAGCCGTGGAGAGCGTGGAAGAGCACAGCTACAAGCAGGAGAAGAAGGTCCGCGCGGCTCTCAGGACAACAGAGCGTGACCATAAAAAAAACGTGCAGTGCTCCTTCATGTTGGACTCAGTCGGTGGGTCTTTGCCCAAAAAGTCAATTCCGGACGTGGATCTCAATAAGCCTTACCTCAGCCTCGGCGGCAGCAACACTAAGCTCCCGGTGTCGGTGCCCCTGCCCATGCCCATCCCCAGGGCCGCGCGCCAGACCTCGCGCACCGACTGCCCGGCGGACCGCCTCAAGTTCTTTGAGACCTTACGACTTCTGCTCAAGCTTACCTCAGTCTCGAAGAAGAAGGACAGGGAGCAGAGAGGACAGGAGAACACGTCTGCCTTCTGGTTGAACCGATCGAACGAGCTCATCTGGCTGGAGCTGCAGGCCTGGCATGCTGGACGCACCATCAACGACCAGGACCTCTTTCTGTACACAGCCCGCCAGGCCATCCCAGACATCATCAACGAGATCCTGACCTTCAAGGTTAACTACGGGAGCTTTGCCTTTGTTAGAAATGGAGCTAGTTTTAATGGTACTTCAGGAGAAGGGCCGGGCAAGGCGCCTCACGGAGCGAGGAGCATGGGTCACGCCACCTATCACGAGCATCTCCATCGCCAGAGGGTGTCGTTCGAGCAGGTGAAACGCATCATGGAGCTGCTGGAGTACATAGAAGCACTTTACCCATCGTTGCAGGCTCTTCAGAAGGACTATGAAAAATACGCTGCGAAAGACTTCCAGGACAGGGTGCAGGCACTCTGTTTGTGGTTGAACATCACAAAAGACTTAAATCAGAAACTAAGGATTATGGGCACTGTTTTGGGCATCAAGAATTTGTCAGACATTGGCTGGCCAGTGTTTGAGATCCCTTCTCCTCGACCATCCAAAGGCCACGATCCCGAAGATGAGTGTGATGACGCAGGAGGAGGGCTGAGAGAGCTGGGGAGCAGTACGGAGGAGAGCGAGGAGGAGCCGGCCTCTGAGCCGCGGGCGCCCGAGGCCAGGCAGCCGGGCGAGGGTAGTTTCAACTTCCAGCTCCAGGACTGCAGGTCTCAGAAGCTGGAGAGGCTTGAGTCTGAGGATGAGTCTGTCGGCTGGGGAGCGCCAGATGGCAGCTCAGAAGCAGGCTTTAGCAGACATTGTCTGACTTCTATTTATAGGCCATTTGTAGACAAAGCACTGAAGCAGATGGGGTTGAGAAAGTTAATTTTAAGACTTCACAAGCTGATGGACGGTTCCTTGCAAAGGGCACGTGTTGCCCTGGTAAAGAGTGACCGTCCCCTGGAGGTAGGTTTCCAGGCGGCGTCGGTTCGGTCTGGTCCTCGGTTCCATCATTTATTGTAAATTACAGTGTGTTGTGTTGGTTATTATGTACTTTCCTAGTCTTTATTTTTAAGGCATAAGTGGTAGTTATTATGAATTGCAGATTCAAACATTTCTATAAAGTGCTGTGATAAATGGGGAAATGAGCCTATGAAAACCGTATGAAACTTGGTGAAATAAGTCAAGGCGGTGTGGGGAGAAGAAAACTAACCATATAAATATAGGCCGGAGGAGCACAGACGAGGTATAAATAACGAGGGCAAGAGCCACAATCATGGGTGACCACAAACTGAGTATAAGTCAGTAAAAAGTCAACATGATGCTGAGATATTTTTAAATGAATATGGTGTCCACAGTCACAGCTATAGTTCACGGGCTGGTCTTTGCAGTAGCTGACTCTCCTTTTGAGTAGCATGTCCAGTTTTGGGTCCTGTAGTTAAAAGAGATGTGAATTGTAGAGAAATACAGGAGAACGGCCGAAGGAAAAAGTAGGTATGTTTGGCAAGATTGACATGTTTAGCTTAGATGAGGAACATTTAAGGGGAGTCTTAACTATTTCCACAGACGTGTCGTGGTGCGTGAATATTCTGTGAGGGGAATATGTCTGCTAAGGGAAGTGATTTGAAGATAGCACATATTTGGTTTTGATAGCTTGATATCTGAAAAGTCTTGATAGCCTGATATCTGGAAAGGCTGGTAAAACCCAAAAGGGATGGATTGTTGAGCCCTGCTTTTGAGACCCCTTACTCTGCCACTCTGCCGACCCTCTGCGGCAGTAAAACCACTGCCACCCTGGCGTGTCGCGCATCTGTTAACCGTTAGAACAAGAGCAAGCTTGAGAGCAGGTGCGTGGTGTTTCCCACTGGAGTCCGTGCCGAGAAGAGGTGAAGGCAGGTAGTCCTTGGATTTGAGTTCCCACCAGGGTTGTGTTCCTTTGGTTTGAGCAATTGATATTTAACTGAAGAGGTTACCCTTGTTGCACACAAAAAGAAACACATACAAATTCAAAATTTATAAAGTGTGTAAATCAAAGACTTAGAATTCTTTATGACTGTTTCTTCTGCAAAAAATGAAGTCTTGAAGCATCGTTTTGGTTTATAAAATGGCTTGTCGGATAGTGAAAAAGTAACAGAGTCAAAGTAGAGATACTTTTCAACTGAAAATCAATGCGGGGTAGCAAAAGGTGAGTCTCTGACATTGTAATTTGCTCAGTAGTAGGAAAGTAAGTATTTTTATTCCCATTTCAGGAGCTTCTGTAAGGTGTGGGGGGTGTGTGTGTGTGTGTGCCTATGTCTGTGAGTGAATACAGTCCACCCCCTTTCCGGGTTTGTTTTTCAGTTTTCTGCTAAGTATGTCTGGGAGAGAGTCACTAACTGGATTCCACTCCTTGCTGTGTGTGGCTCTTCCTCACCACATACCTATGTCAGTGACTTAATCTCTGACCCCAAGTCTTCACATTGGTAAAAGGGGTACAATGACACGTTTCTACCTACCTCACAGGGTTGTTGTGAGGCTTTAAAAAATACTTAATATAAATGGTAAGTTTATATAATTGACACTAGAAGTCATATGTAAACATTTTTTTGGCAGTCTTATTACATATTATTTTCTCCCTTGAGAAGTCAGAATGTAAGTCAGTATGGGCTATACCACCCTGTACTTTTATTTAAAAAATGTTTTACCAGTGCAAAGTAGAAGATATGTATTGTGTTCACTCTGGTTCAGGATGTTTCCTAGCAATTAAGAATCAAGTCTGAAAGGTTATATGCTGCTTAATGTGCTCATCCTTAAAATATGCCATTATTTGGCGCTCTTCACGTCAGCTGTCTCTCCACGGAGCCCACGTTCCCTGGAGAATGGTATTTAGAGATGAACATCTGGATGTTTTTTGCTGTTGGGATATCACTGCTTCTCGGCCAGCCGGCTCAGTGACTGAGTTTGAAATGTAGGTATGTCTTCTAACTGTGCCAAGGCACAGCTCGGGACTCCGACTCTGTCTGTCACCTGTTTAACGTTGGAAACAGACATGAGTCCCTAGTCCTCTCTGGCCCTACCTGGCACCACCGGTTCCACTGGAGCCTTCTGCCCTTGCTTATTTGCAACTTATTTCTCTTGTTAGGAGAAACCTGGCTCCATGAACTATGCTTCATTGTGTCTGTTTCAGAAGTGCTAACCTGTACCCGTGGGGAGTAGCTTTCCCAGCCAGTGTACCGTTCTTCAGGACAGTTCTTGGCTTTAGTCCTAGGATGCATAGTGAAATTGTAGTTTTCCAAGTTCCTTAGTTCAGCACCTTTCCCTTCCAAATGCATTTATCCTGAGATTCCCGTGTCCTAGTAGGTTCCTTAAATTTTGCATTCTGTAAAGTTTAGTCTTTGTGTTGTACAGTTTTGTGAATTTTACATTTAAGTTATTAAATACCCATAGAAATAGATGAACCATAGATTGTGATGTAGCTATTTTATGTTCCTTTCTTTTTGTTTTTCCTGTGAAATTTATATTTTAAGAAGAGAAAGAAAAATTATGTTTTAATCTAATAGACCAAAAAACTGTCTGGTTTTGCAGAAGATTTTTGCTACTTTATTACTTTCCTTTGAATTAGAAATGACCATGTTAATTGTATGTTTACAGGCCAATGATGTTTGTCTTTGGATCTAATAATAACTACAGTAATCATCCGCAGTAAGCACAAGTAACCTGAAGAGGTTGCCTGTTGCGTTCACAGCGGACAAGGCGAGCCGAAGCTAGGATGTGTATAATCGCAGTACCAGTCATTGGGTTCGCCCGGTGCCAGCTCCAAAGCGGTATTATTACAGATAAGGTGTTTTTCACAGATAAGCAGGGTAACTAACTTGCTGGAAGTTTGGAGCTACAGCTCATTAGAGGGACACAAACCCAGGAGTCTGGAATACCTGACTTTAATCTGAGCTAGTGGTTTCCAGGCCTGCCTGAACATCAGCATTTTACCCAAGGAGTTTTTATTTATTTTTTAAAGATTTATTTATTTATGCATACAAGGGCTGGGGTGCAGGCCAGAGGTGCAGGGAGTGAGAGGATTCACCAGAGACAGAGTGGGGAGCAGAACAGGCGGATTTCCTGAAATACACTGCTGAGGGGAGCAGCGGGTGAGCCAGGAGAGGTCTGCTGCGCCATGTGGGTAGCTCCCTGGCCGGCCGGGGATGGAACTCGTGCTGCAGAGGCTGCGGCTGGCTTCATAGTGCGATGCTTAACCTCTTGCGCCACCAGGGAGGCCCCCAAGGAGCTTTTAAAAATACCCTTGCCCTTCGACATTTTTTGACGCAACCTCCTGCTGCGTCATCCTCGCTCCGCGTGTAGCTGGCCAGTGCGTTCACCAGCCCAGCTACTGTAGCTGGTGCTTTGTTTGCTGCAGTCACCACCTGCTCATTTCATTACTTGAGTTACTCAAACTCATACATGCTCATTAGCCTGTAGATTTTCTGTATTTTAAAAGGACCATGCTTAGGTGGAGGAAAATAGGAAGCTGTGTTACATTATTTTTGACTGAAGTGAGCCATCTGAATCACAGTTGACTCACAACTGCTGTTGGTGAAAGAAGACCCAAGTAAGAATTAATATAATTCATCAGCTTGCAGCAGAGAAATGAATCAACAGCAAAAGACTAACAGCATTTGTTGAGTCCTCCCTCAGCGGTCGGGTTTGGTGAAATACCTTGTCACGGTCACACAGGCCCTGAAAGTGACAGCGGGGGCGTGAACCCGCAGCCATGGCTTGGCCTGTGCAGGCTGCTGAGGTTATATTTTGAATTTCAAGTTATATATATTTTTTTCTCACAGGCTGCTTTAAGGCTTTCTGAGAGGCTAGCTGTTAAAAGTCAGAAAATTTCACACGAACATCTGGATTTTTGGCTTTCCTCGAGATATTGGGAGGTCTGTGAGCAGGCGCCCTCGCTCCCGGGTGGTGCGTGGTCACGGTGAAGCTTACCACAGAGCCCTGCTTCTCCTCCTGCTGTGGCCTGCACCAGCTCACCCAGTTAATGGACCTCCCCCGTCAGCCTCTGCCATTTCAGTTTGTGATGTGGCCCCTAGAACAGGATTGCAGAAAGTAATTTTGGAAGAGTAACCTAAAGACTATCTGATTGAATCCTGTATTTTATAAAATAACACCCTTTCTTTTGCTCTACTTACTGAATGAAATCCATAAAGAAACAATGGGTAATCCTCTCCCCTTGCTCAGACGACTGACATTTGGTTTGTGTTGTCTAGAGTTTTGTGCTTATAGAAATGTATCGTTGTAAGTAATGCAGAAAATTTTTGTTCAAAAAAATGTGATCGTTGATTTACTTCTCTGACTGGCGGGTCCCTCCTCCCCTCATCTTGGGCCGTGGAGCTGTCCACGTTGGCGTGTGTGTCCACAGCCCACCTCACTGCAGGGGGTTCTGTTACGTGAATGCCCACGTGCGTGTCTTTTGAATTTTCTTTCATTTTTCTCCATTTTCTGCTGGATCATTACTATTTTTTATCATTGACTTGTTGAAGCTGTTTTCACTTCATGGATATACTTACTTTTCTAATATGACTGTAAATCTTTTCTTCCAAAGTCTTCACATGTTGTGGCGCTCTACACTAGACACAAAGTTAGAATTTTCTGTGTAGTCGTACCTGCTACTATTTCATGATCATCTTAGTTCATGTATGCCACGATTATAAAAAGTATTCTCCCATATTTTTTCCTTTTTTTTTTTTTTTTTACAGAGTTAAGATTTATTACGGCGAATATTAAACATGCAAAGCCACACACTGGAAATCCCTTGACTCTATCTCACACAGAAGTGATCGCTTTGTGGCTGGTATCTCCTGCCACATTCCACCTTCCTCTTTTTTATATTTTATATATTATCCTTAAATACTTTTATGTGTCTGAACAATGCAGGCTTGTTTTAAAAATGTACCACGATAACGTTATCACTCCAGGAATATAGCAGTAACGCCTCAGTGCCATGAAATGACACTTTGATTTTCATTTCTCTCATGTCATAATTTTCACGTTTTATTTTTAAGAAATGTCTTACAATTAAATCAATTTGCAAGTGTTATCATTGTTCGTTATACTTCTGAAGTCTTCCTTTGCCATACATTATTGAAGAGATTGGCTCCTTTATTCTAAAGTCTCTACGATCCTCCTGCGTGTTTCTTTTCCCGCTGTGTTCTCTGTGAATTGATTGCTGTCTAGTGACTTGATCAGATTTAGGGTTTCTTGATTGGTTGGTTGAGGTTTGATCGCGTTAACATTACTTCATCAGGACGTGTAGTGGTTGTCTGAGATACTAGGAGTTGGGCTGATCATTGCCTGCATCCCTTAATTCATTAAGGGTTGTAAAATGATATTTTAATCCTCTCACTTTTTCATTTGTTAGCTTCTGTATTGTTAACTTCATTAGTCAGATATTGCTCTAAACAGAAATTCTCCTCAGATTTACTTGGTACCTGATAAAATAGTTGAATAGAAATGTACTTGATTCTTTCCCTTTTATTTACCATTTTAAAAAAAAAGTTGATTTATTGGTGACCAGTTAGTATTTTTTCCCCAGTATGATATTCATGAATTTAAGTGTTTTGATATGTTTTTATTATAACTCATTGAAGTATTCTAGTAGTTGATGTTCACACTGTCCTGTCTTTGAACACTGGGACGTAGTCAAGTTGTTTTAAGTGCATTTGTCATACCACTGGTGAGTAGTCTTTGCCTAGTTTCCTTGTCATCCGATAGAATGTGATGTTAGGCTTACTTTATACATCTGCTCCATATTGGCAGTCTCCTTCCTATTACTGGGAAATGATATTCCAAGACCATAGTCTGGGCACCGGTGTTGCTACTTGCAACTAAGATGTCAGGCAGGCTCTGTTTTAGCTGTCATCAAGTAGACAGAATACAGACACATAAAAAACACATCACAAGTTGATACCGACACTAACAATTGAAATTTAGAATTTCAGGTTTCTACTGAATCTCATCTGACTGTTTTTTAGCACCGAAATTCTCTCAGTGATACTGGCAATGCTAGTACTGGAATGTCAGATGCTGACTGTATTCCAGAATGCACAGTAATCTCAGAATAACGCCCTTGACAGCATGGCTCCTGAAAATGGCTTAAGATTCCCCCATCCTACGGCACAACCCTCTAGGGATGAACCAGGAAATTACTGTGTTTTAAAGACACTTGAATAATTCTTCCCGTGGTTATGCCACTAACTACATATGTAATTAGATTCTCTTCTTTTTTGGGTTGTACATTTAAAATAACAGCTTTATTGAGGCAGCTTTCACATACCATGAAATACACCATTTTAGTGTTCAATTCAGTGGTTTTTACTATATTCAGAGTTGTGAGGCCATCACCACTATCTAATTTTAGAACATCTCCATCACCTCTGAAAGAAACCCTGTGTCCTGGAGCTGTCACTCCTCAGCGTTCACTCGCGCATTTGTGCCAGGATCTCCCAGGTCCACTACGTCCTCGGACAGAAGCGGCAAGCGTCCCGCTGCTTCCTCGTCAGCACTTTTGGAATTTGTGCCTTTAGGCCCATCAGACACCCCGATATTCCCCTCCATTTCCCCTGTGCAACATTGACACCATGCAGGTGTGGGGTACCACGTGGGGCTGGGAAATCCCCACCTCCAAACCCACCCCTTCTGTTTGGGGTCCCCCTAGGTTTTTTGTGAACGTGACTTGTGGGGTTTTTTTGTATCTTTTGACCTGCTTGGACCCTGGGGAGATAAGGGGAGTGGAATCCAGTCATCTCCATCTTTCTAGACATTGTTTATGATGTCTGTATTCTCTCTGTACTAAGTTGACGATACTGGGTCATTTGTGACTGCCTGAGGTGGCAGTGTTGTGTGGTTTAACTAATGTATAGCTAATGTATGATGTGTGTTTGACTATGTTTTGGTTTTAATGCATTTGGAATCTTTCTAAATATATATTTTTAACACACATTTTTGTAATTTCATAATACATACTTTAATTTCTTCTAACCAGACAAGAATTTCTAAAATAGCCACATAATTTAAAAAAATAACTAATTGTGATAGGTAAAATAGAGGATGAAGTAATAATCATTATTCATTACTTTCTACTTTTTGAACTGCTGCCTACCTTTTTAATATACTAAATTATGATACGATACCTGGATATATTTCTTTGTTCTGTTGATCTGTTTATTACTATGTCAGTACTTTTTTATTTTATTTTATTTAATTTTTTAAAGATTTATTTATACAAGCACTGGGGTACAGGCCAGAGGTGCGGGAGGGTGACAGAATCCACTAGAGACAGAGCGGGGAGCGGAGCAGGCAGAAGGACCGAAATCCACTGCTGAGGGGAGTAGTGGGGAGACAGGAGAGGTCTGCTGTGCCATGTGGGACCCTCGCCGGCCGGCCGGGATTGAACTGGCGCTGCAAAGACTGTGGACAGCTTCACAGTACGGCCCTACTTTTCTATTTTATTTTAAATAAAAAAGTTTATGAGTAAGGTTTATCACGTCGGGCAGTTATTCCCATTCATCCTTTTCAAAAATTTCTGGATTATTTATTTTTGCCCATTATTTTCTTCTTCGTGAACTTTATGTAATGAATTTATTAATCCATACAGATGCCGTTGGGACCAGGATTGTAATTACGTTGCATTTTTATTAATGTTCCTACATTATTGAGTGTTCCTACTTTGGCCACATTGATCAGAAATAGATAAATGACACCACATTTAATCCTACATTTCTCACCAAGTGAAATAACAGAAATGCTGTGGAGTCCTGTGTACCTGTATAGGTGCTACTAGATTCACGACTTCTCCCTTCCTTCGCTCTTTTTCTTTATCTTAAGATTTTTATTTTGACCCAGTTTTCTTTTGGTGGACCGGTACTAACTTTTTCAGGTAGTTTGTAGAAGTAGTGAGTGAATTGTACTTGGAGTTCTTTTCTGCTCAATGATTATTTGTCCTCCTCTTTCACTAGCGATAACTTGATTGTGCAGAAAGTTTTCCATCTTCTTCTTCTGTTTTTTTCTGGCGCTTAGGCTAATTCTTATGTTAGAGCCCTGTGTTTCTTTTTTAACTCGATCCATTCCTTTCCCTTTTGCTGTGCATTATAGTGACAGTTTCTGCAGTTAATTTCTAAATTATTAATTCATGTTTTGATAACATCCTTTCTGTTTTTCACTGTCTTTTTTGATTGGTTTTAAAAATCTTCTTGTTGGTATTTTTTTCCCCAGAGGATTTTAGTGAGGTCTTGCATTGGAGTGTTTTTATAGCTCTGCACTAGATCATTATCAGCTGTCTGATTCTTCTGCCTGGTCTCCTAGTTGAAACGACTGTTTCCTCTTAGGTGCCCAGTAGCTTTTTTAATGTCTGTTCTTTCTGTAGACCCAGGCTGACCCCTGGACACCTCCAACAGGAATTGCTCAGCAACTGTGTAGGTCTGACACAGTGTTGTCTTGTAGTTGTTGGGAAGTTGGGATTGTCTCTTCCTGGTGAGCCTGCAGCAAGTGGGTCATCAGGCTGAAGCTGCTGGAAATGCCTAAAGTCTGTAGAATTTTATCATAGAAAGTTCTGAAAGAACTTTAAATAAACTTTTAATCTTATGTTATTCTTTGTACCAGAAAAGGAAAGCATTTGTATTGCCTAAAGCTTTTAAACGAATATGTCTTAACCCTGACCACGGATATCACCCATGATCATTTTAAAAAAATGCCTGTTAATAGGGAAACTAAAGTATATATTAATTTAAATACAAAAAAAAATGTGTTGGCCATAAAAGAATATGAGTGGGGAAACCAATGAAAAGCTTCCTGAATGAATTCAGGTACAAATGCTATTTGGAGGCAGAACAGCTATGACTAGTGCTGGTTTAAGTTGGGAAAAAGTTGCAATTTTCAAATATTCTTGCCCCCAATTTCTCAATCAGGAAGAAGGCAAAACCTTTGAATATGACTGGTCGGAATGAGGTTATGTGAGGGCTACAAAAGGTGGAGGGGGGACAGTACAGGGGATGTGATGGGAATAGCTGTAAGAGGGGAACACATAGAATTTGAAAAATTATTTCAGGACGCTTTCTCCATTATACTTGATTAAAATGTTGCACTCCAGTTTTAGTTGTTACGGTTTTTTCTGATCCTTTCAGAACTTTTCAAGTCTGTGTTGAAGATGTTGAATTAGTCTAAAGATTATTTTTCCTGTAAAATTATGATTTTGCAGCTTTGTCAGCAAATCGTAGAGAAAGACAGTTATAACTACAATCTTGAAATTATCCCAAGCTTATGTGCACTTACCCCATTGAATTTTTGTTTCAGTTTTCCGAATTCCCGGATCCTATGTGGGGTTCTGATTATGTGCACTTGTCCAGGACACCTCCTTCCTCAGAACAGAAGTGCAGCACTGTGTCCTGGGGAGAGCTGAAGGCCATGGACTTACCCTCATTCGAACCCGCCTTCCTGGTCCTCTGCCGAGTCCTTCTCAACGTCATCCATGAGTGTCTCAAGCTGAGGTTGGAACAGAGGCCTGCGGGAGAACCATCTCTTCTGAGTATTAAGCAGGTTTGTTTCAAAGGTTGTTCAGGAACATTTAGTGATTGTTGTTCTACAGACTTAGAATTTTTATTTTGAAGATTTTTCCCGCATATTTTTGCAGTTAGTGAAAAATGGGTGTGCTAGGGCTTTTAAGATGCTCTTTTTCGGGTAAGGTAACATGCTCTTTACTTGAAGTCCTCAAAGATAAAGTTGTTCTTCCACCTTTCTGCCATCCATTTCCTTGTTCTAAATTCATCTTTGAAGAGTAGACCCTTAGAAGTCTAGAAGTCTTCTTAGAAGACTGTTAGACTAGAATCTTGCAGTTTATTTTTTGTTATTTTTTCAGCTGCATGTAGTTGGGTAAATGTCTTCAGTGCATACAGAAGGGAGATCTTTGGACTTGCTCGCTTTAGGCAGTCATCTGGTTCAGACAGTAGGACAGCTTCACCTTTCTTAGTAGTTAGTCATTTTGAATGGGATTTTCTAGGGAGTTTGGTACCCCAGGGGTAACAGGATGGCTGGAAGCAGTGGCACCAGGCAAAGTGAGTGCCGAATACTGTTTATATTGATGCTTTATGTTGCTGTTATAGGACAGCCCCGATGTTGAACGGGTTCCTGGCTGTGGGTCCTCACCTACGCGCTTAAAAGAGACTTATTAATACTCCACTACAGACACACACAAAAGGTTAATGAAAGGTTTATTTACAAGGGAAAAGGAAATAAGGAAAATGTACAACTCAGGGAGAAAATAGGGAAATAAAGTCTTTAATGCGTCCTACCCGATCCGCCGACCTGGAAACCCAAAGTCACTCTCAGAGCTGGCCGGACGCTGCGAGCTGGCGGAGACCCAGCTTTGGGGACCCCCCCCAAAGCCCACGTGTCTGCCTTTATACCAACCTGGCTGCTTAACCCCACCCTCAGGTCCCAGCCACCTTCCCTTTGGTGGTGATGGGATTTGGAGTTCCCAGTGTCTTTGGCTTTGGCCTGGGGTGGGGGTGGGGTCCACAAAGCCTGCATGGAATTAGCTTTAGGACATCCTTTTCCCCCTAACAATTCCCCCCTTTCACTTTTTACCACCATTTCCATGGTGATGAAGATCAAATATATGGATGTTGAGATGCAGTCTTAGATGAACATTTTTACCAGGTCCCCCTAACATTACCACATTGGCATTCAATAGATAACATAAACATTTTGAATTTTTGAAGGAAACAAGTGTGGTTTGGCAGCCGTGCGTGTCCGTCCTCGGGGATTGGCGGGCCAGCAGCCCCTTGACCCCTAGGGACAGGATGCAGCCCACGGGGCGAGTGCGGTCGAGGCAGGACAGACCGCGCACAGGTACAAGACGGGGCTCGAGTTTGTCTCGTCAGGTGTCCAGTAGGTGACCCGTGGAGCTGGGACTGGGCCTGCACTCCCGGCACTGACCAGGGCTGTGGCCGCGTCCTGGCGGTGTCCTGCTGGCCCCCTGGACCGTGCTTCTCACTCGTCCTCCTCCTGCAGCGGATATTAGGAAGTTGGGGTAAAATATTTCCCTGTCCCACAAAACAGACACTTCAGGAATATAACCTAGTGAAACAAGGTGGCGTTTACTTCTTTTTGCTAACGCAGCTATGGTGAGGATTAAAGTCACTTATGTGAAAATATTTTGGGAAAAAATTATTTAGATTAACTACAGTAAAAAGGAAAGAATTTTTCACTCTAAAGCATCGAAGATTCTGTTAGAAGCACCTAAGTGATAGTCTTTTCAGAAACATCTGTCTGTATAACCTCAACAGAACACTTTCCATTAGATTTGACTCTAGCCATTGCTCATGTTAAAGGGAAAGTTTTTTCTGCATCTCTGGTTGTTTCTTGAGTATAAAACATAAGAGGGAATTAACCATACAGTGTAGGTTCTAGAAAGTTTGTACCAGTTTACTTTCCCGGTAGTGGTACTGGGGTTCCTTTTGCGTCTTGAGACATTTTTTTTTTTAAACTGATGTCTCTGTAGTTGTGTACCCTCATCCTGTGGACTGGAATTGTGGAAGCACAGCAGTGAGGGAAAGGTTTTTGCAGGTCATTCCCTTTTTTGCAGCATAGCTACTGAATCCCCATAATGCAGTTTTGCTCAACTTTTTGTGTTTTTTACTTCATCTAACTTGATCAGACTAATTTTAAATGTGTTTGTTTTTGTGATTTTGAGTTTTTGATGGTAAGAGTCACAAATGACAGTAGGTAAACTATGCAAAATTATTACAAAGACTACTATGCTCTGTGGTATCTAAGTGTGTTTGAAGCTTTATTACTTTTTGGTCAAAAAATGACCTGGTTCATTGGCTTCTTCTCTGCATCCCTTGTCTAGTAATGTCAGCTAATAGGAAGTAGAGCTTTTTCTGCAGAATTTATTTTTCATAGAAAATATTTCTAGAATATACTTTAGCAAGTCAGTTTTTGTGTTCATGTTGGAATGTTCAGTACTTTTATTTTCACCGGTTTGTTCTTAGTCAGCAGGGACTGGTGAGATATTTATGTGAAATGAGCAGAAAAAGAATCTGGAAAGCATGTCAGGCTTTCCAGAGGCCAGGTTTCCTTTTTCAGAGTTTTGGAGGATTTCACTCAGTGTGCGTGAGTGGCCAGATCCTCTGGCCTGGACGCTTGAGGCTCAGCCTTCGCCTTTGTCTTGCAGCTGGTGCGGGAGTGTAAGGAGGTGCTGAAGGGCGGCCTGCTGATGAAGCAGTATTACCAGTTCATGCTGCACGAGGGCCCGCGGGACCTGGAGGAGGCCGACTGCAACATCGACGCCTTCCAGGAGGACCTGCACAAGATGTTGATGGTGAGGGGCTGCTCCGCTGTCTCTCCGTCTGAGAGTGTGGTCATTCCCATCTTGTAGTAGATTACATTTGTTGCTCCTAAGTCCACATTTAAAAAAGCTCTCCATGGTTAAGCTAGAATTTTTGATAAAATGGACCGTCGTTATTGTTTAATTGTAGGCGAGCTCACGCCCAGCAGCATGGCCCCGAAACAGCACCACAGCCTGGTCCTTCCCACCAAGCTGTCCACCGCCAGCCGTCTTTTGGGAATTGGCAGCCCGGGGACGTCTCAGGACTGGGCATTTAATACTGGTCATAGAAACCATAGTCCGGTGGGACCTGGGCGGAGGCAGTACCCGTGCCCATTTCTCTGGACAGCTTTTATCTGACAGCGTGAAGCTTTAGTGTGCGTCTGTACCTTCTCTGCATTCCTACTGCAGTTAATTAGAGTGGAACCGTTTAATTCTTAATGATATACCACTTCTCTGTCCTCAGGTTTCCCTAATCACATGGCAAGCCTCATCACCCAGGGGCTATGACCGTAGTTCCTTTGTCTGCCGATGCTGGTAGAGTGCTGCTGTATCGTGAATGCATGTGAGGCTCATGAGCGTGTGTGCAGAGATGCTTGTGTGATATGACAGGTTGGTGAAAGAATACAGACAAGGATGGTGCTTGTAGGCACATTGTTCTTGGAATGCTTTCATCCTTGCTGGCACTCACTGTAGCCTGCCTTAGGGTGCCTGCATATTATAAGAATTAATGTTGAGCGTGAAATTATTTGCTGATTGTTGGGGGAGAATTGGTAAGAGGCCCGGATATGTAAAACGTGGCTGCGTTGTGAGACACTTTCCACCAGCAGAGCGATTAACACTGAGAGGTTATGGCGAGAAGCAGTAAGCAGGTTTTTTTCTCTCTCTCCAATGATTAAGCTAGAAATTTAAAAAGACAAAAGGGGCTTTGCTTTTCAGACTGCCTTTGACAGCCTTGTAAAGGCACAGGCCGCACCTTTTGTCGTGTCATCGGTGAGGCTGGAACGGTGAGGCCGGGTGGGTGAGATGTGTCCCCGCTGCACCTGCGAGACCGCGGGGCCCCGGGGAGCTGCTGAGAGCCGAGATGCTGGGGTTTCCTTTCAGCGTTGCTGTCAGTGACCGTGAGAGTCCCGCTCTCCCCCCTACTCGACAGGTGAAGAGCTGGACTTCTGGAACCAGAATTAAAGTGCACCCCAGTGTGCTTCATGAGGGTAGGGGCGTGTTTTGAGACCTGCAAAACAGTGTTTTCTTAGGAAGGAAGGCGAGGGTGGTCTCTGGGTGGGCGGTCAGTGTGCTTGCCGCTAGTACACACCGGGCGGCTCACGGCAACAGCGGAAGGAATGAAAGGAGAAACACTCGGATGTTTAATAAAAGAGGAGATTGGCCACCATATCCTTCTCACCCTCTACCCCTAAAAATACTACTATAGGTATCTGCCTTAAAATGTAGATGGATGCAGGTGGAGATAAGCTGTGAGTACACGGAACCTTGGAGGTGCAGGGCCTCGCCGGTAGGGAACTGAGCTGTGACATCCAGAGGTGGAGAGCCAAGGGCCGGGGGTGAGTCCCTGGAGGTCCTGACCTGAGGCGCGGGAGGTGCAGACAGGAGGGTGGAGCAGAGACATGCTTGTGCTTTCTCCTGCTGGCCCAGGACTGTGGAGTGAGAGTGGGGGCTGGGGGGAGCGCAGTGACAGCGCCTACTGGTGCAGGTGCCCAGGACGCGGGCATCTTCACTCTGTGTGACATCGTTCTTCTGGCTTGAAAACGAGCAACTTACACATGCCCCAGGGTACATCTTGGTGAGATGGCTCATTTCCCTGGCCTTAGAAGTACCCGTGAGTGTGATGTAGATAGTGTGGGAACACACGGGAGGCAGATTTAAAGAAGCTCTGTGAAAGACTACGAAAGGAATGACGCTGTGAGAAGGACGAACACGCCGCGGAGGTTGAAGGAGACACACCAGCGGGTGCTCAGTTAGGGTTCCTGTCCGAGAATAAAGGGTACAGGAGCAGGCGAGCCCCCTTTCCATCCCACAGGTTTTACCGGTGTCTGCCGTGTGCCTCGCGGGTGTCATGCCAGGTACTGAAGACGCGGTGATCGGCATCAGCCCCGCTGGGAGTTCAGAGAGACGGGAGGGCTGCTGGTCATCCTAAGCTAGAACACGCGCTGCGCGGGCCCGCGGGTCTCTGTGTGGGCGGTGAGACCTGAGGTGGTCGGCAGTGAGGACGGGGCGCCCGCGGTGTTCCTGAACCTCGATATGTGTGTCACAGTCCGGTTTGTGTGAGACCTTCAGAACCATACAAGACAGTGCTGTATGTTGTAATTGAAAAAATAACAGATTGTCTTCAAATGCAGCTAAATGAAAAGACATTCCATCCGTAGTTGTTGCCTCTGAGGAAGGAGGAAAGAGAAGTGAAGAAACAGAGGGGAGATTGCCCTTGTGCTGAGTTATTTCTTATTGAAAAAATATTCAAAGCAAATACTAACATTTGTTCATTTTGGGTGACATTTGTTGGAATATTGTTAAGCCTCTTTTTAATTAAAACAAGAGAGAGATGGAAAGAAACACATTCTGACAGGGAAGGCAGCAGGTGCGGAGTCTGGGGGGAGCCGAGCTTCCAGACAGCATAAGGGGCCTCGGGTACAGCTGAGGGCGGGGTGGGTCTAGCAGGCCAGTAGGCGACAAGAGTGTGGTGCCTGTGGGTCAGCGTGGCCTAAACGTAGGAGGCAGGAGAGGGCTTCCAGGGAAGCCTTTGGGCGGATTTTGCTAAGGAAAAGAGGTGGGAACACTCTGTTGTGTGTCTGAGAAAAAGGAGTGAGGCTAAGGTGAGCCTCGGGCCTGCTAGCTCCCCCTGTTGAGGAGGGGCAGAGGGCGGCTGTGTAGGTTTGCACTCAGATCTCAGGAAGGTGAGGGGTTCTATACCACTGCTGCCTTCTGCTCTTGTCAAGGGGGGTGAGTGCACTTTGAGAGTGGGTTTGGAGAGACCTTGGCAGCTTGAGGAAAATGGAGAAATCTCAAGCTTTTGGTTTTATGGAGAAGGAAAGTGAGAGCAATATTGCCAGAAATGGCACACGCCAAATACTGGGGGGCTGTGATTGTGCAGAGGAAAGAGGAAGGTCCCTCCCATCCAGGGCCTGCCCAGGGGATTGATGCGCAGTGAGAGGAAGGCGAGAGTGCGGGGTGCAGGCAGGGCCCAGGGATGCAGCCTTCTGGGCGCAGGCTTTGTCTTGGTTTTAAGTATGACTGAGAGCTGTGGTTTCAAGGAGCAGTGGGGGCAGGAGCAGCCCCTGTGGTAGAGTGAGAGGGCTGCAGGAGAGACCGTCCTGCGGAGATGAAGGCGCCCACCCGCTCCTGGAAGTGGAAGGAGGTGCTGGCCTGCTGCTCCAGAGACTCAGGTGACAGCAGCGCCTACCCACCACACTGTGGGCCCCACAGCGGCCTTGTTTGTAGTGGTCCCAGGACTGCAGCTTCACCCCTCAACACAGCCTGGGAGCTGGAGCACCCAGAAGCATCCAGAAATACAGTGGAGCACAGTTTTCTTGAAATAGAGACCCCGCGTGTGCCCACTGAGAGTGGCTCCTGGAGCTCAGAGGCACCTGGTGGCTCAGCAGAAATTCACGACTGACCATCCTTGCAGTTAAGCCAGGGTGGGAGTGGGGGCATAGGGGATGTAGCTGGCATCAGGTGCCACCGTGGAGTGAGAAGGCAGAGCAAGGCTCGGTGGTTCCGAGGGAGGCAGCGGGGGCCGCGGGGAGGCTGTGCACGCGGGGAAGAGGAGGCCTGGGGACGGGGAAGCTGTGTAACAGGACCTGTTGTGGGCGTCACCCACTTCAGGAGAATTAGGTATTTTGGCTCAAGGTCATAATTTATTGGTATTAACCTTTAAAAACTTGTACCACAAACGTCTGGATGTCAGGGAGGGATGGTGGGGAAGCATGTGTGTGTTTCCTCCTCTCTGCGTGTGAGGTACAGTCTGAAGTGAAGCAGGCAACGAAGCAAGTAAAGATCCCAATCTACGAAAGGAATAATGTTCACAAAAATACTAGTGAGGAGAATTTCTAGGTGCTATTTTTATTTCCTAATTGTACTTTCCTGTGCATTGTGAACGTTTTGTTATTTCCTTGGCAATTCGAGGAGACCGTAGGGTGTGTGGATCGTATGTCACGTGGCCGAGGAGCTGATGAAGCCGTGTCAGGAAAGTCCTCGCAGGGGCCTCGCAGCCCCTCTTCCCCGCCCTTCTGATCTCTAGCTCTCGCCTTAATAGAGGCGAATGTTGTTAGGTGCTGAATTCTGTTCTCAAATATCTCCCTTTACATTTTGTATTTTAAGGTCTATTTTGATTACATGAGAAGCTGGATCCAAATGCTACAGCAATTACCTCAAGCATCCCATAGTTTAAAAAATCTGTTAGAAGAAGAATGGAATTTCACCAAAGAAATAACCCATTACATCCGGGGCGGAGAAGCTCAGGCTGGAAAGCTTTTCTGGTAGGAACCCTCGTGCTCCCGAGTCTGCCTGCTTCCTCTCCGTGCACGTCTGGATGTCTGCAGACGCGACAGTGACAGTCGTGCTCGTCTGTGGGGTCCCTCTTCAAGTTTTGTGACCTTAGGTGCTGCTTCTCCACCAGAGGTGACCCGCCCCTGGGATAAGTGGCAACATCTGGGAAGTTTTGATTGGGGGTACTAGCGGCTGGGGGTACAACTGGCATGCAGTGAGAAGAGACTGGGGATGCTGGGAACTAAACCTCCCGCAGTACACAGGATGCTCCAAAACAAAACATGATCCCTCAAAATGTCAGTTTTAATGTCTGCTTTGGAGTAAACCCTCTTGGTTATATGAAAAGGAGGCATGTGTAAGACTTCTGAGAATAGACGCAGGGCCTGTGCGTTGGTGTGGCCGTTCGCACTGTGAGGGACGTGCATCTCCACTGAGAGCATTTCGGGAAAGTTGCACCACAGCCCTGCTCTGGGTATGCATGGGGCGCCTAGGCATGCAAGGGGAGCAGGGCCGGGCGGCGGGGGCAGGGGACGGGGCTGCAGTCCTGGAGGACATGGACTTTGACTGAGGGTGCGCCTCACGGCCTTTGCTGGGGCCACACCTGCGGCTGACCCCAGCGTCCTCCTGGCCCCGACTCTGCTTCTCTCCCTTGGTGCGCCTGCCCTCGCCTGCCCAGCAGCCATTCCATTCTGTCCTCAGCTCCCCTCCCTGCATTCTGTGGGATTCAGCGCGTCCGTAGATTTCTCCAACTTAAACTCCCTCTTAGGCCCACCGCCTCTGTTCCGCACCCTGGACCTCAGAATCTAGTCGCTTTTCTGCTCTGACACCAGCTCTTCATGTCGTCTTTGTCTTTCTTCTGAGTGACAGGGCTTGCTCTTGGCTCCTGACTGCCAGTCCTCCAGGCCATCCTCCCCGTCCCCAGACGTCCCCCCTTGCCATCGCCGCGCTCCACCCGCCATCTCTCTCTTGGCATTTTCTGCTTCTAGACTGTGCAGCTTTGTTGAACAAATTGTTTTTAAAGCTGGCTGTTTAGTTTCATGTAAATTCATGTCACATAATTTACTGTAGCCTCATTTCCTCCTGCCAGGCCTTTGTCTTCGCTGTCCTTCAGCTCTGCGTGCGGTCGCCTTCGCCTTCTTCCAGGAGCTCTGCGAGCTTCCTCCCTGTGCGGGGCTGCCCGTCCTGTCAGGCCTTCTTCCCATGCTGTGCTTCCCATTACACTGGGCCTTTCTCTCTCACCTCCCCGATCCATTCGTCTGTCTCCTCAGGGTGCATCCAGAACCTCACTCCGCCTGCCACTGTACTTTGCTGCTCTTCCAGGCTGTTTCCTTCTTCTCCTGTAGCAGAGGAGAAAACTTCCAAGTCGTTTCTCTGCTCTGCCCTTTGTCCCTCTCATGTTCCCATAGAGCCAGAGAACCTCGTGAGGCTGTGCTTCAGGCCACTTTCTCCGCCGCTGCAGGTAGTCCTCTGGCTCACCTTCTTCCTCAGTGGAAGGGGCCTGTGAGGCCCACCGCAGTCTGCCTGTTCAGTAAATCTTTGTCCTCCCCTGCTGCTGGGCTCTCCCGTGTTCACTCTGTAGCCACAGTGGCTGCCTGACTTTTTTATCCAGGCTGGGCATTTACTTGCTGCTTTGCGCATGCTGCTTCCTTTGTACTTGCAGTTTCCTCTGCTGGGCCTGCTCGCCTTGCAGTCTCTGCCGGGCCTTACTCCTCACTTTGTCCACATCGCCTTCTTTGTATTTAAAATTGAAATTCCTATTTTCAGGTCTCCTTAGCTTTCTTCCCTATTTTATTTCTCTGAATAGCATGTGCCAATATCTGATACACTGTATATTTTCCCTTTTATAGTTTTTTCTCTCTTCACTGGAGGGGTTTTTGTGTTTTGTCCATGACTGCTCATCGTTTGTTGAATAAATCTGTCCTGGCTCTCCCTGTCCGCAGCTGTTCTTGAAAGCGTGTTTCTACGTCAGCCACTTTCCCCCTTGGCTAGACTTCGAGCCCATCCTCTTTCCCCACCACTTGAGGATCGGACAGTGTGACAGCCGAGACTGTGGCCCGTTTACTTTCCTGATCCTGCTCCACCGGCCTCCTGCTCCTTTCAGAGTGGACAGTTTCCTTTTCACACACCAGGCTCCATTAGCGCGGCTTCGTGGCTTCTGATCATCTTCCTCCTCCTTCCTCCCCCACTCCTTTCCCAACAGACCCCTCTTCTCACTGTGCTCTGCTTGCTGAGATCCTCCGTCGCCTGCAGGGCCCTTGCGGGGCTCTCCGCTTGGACACCGAGCCCGGAGCTGGGTTTGCTCCTTCTCCTCTGACCGCTCCCCTCCCTGTGCCTCTGCCACGCCTGCGTTTACTGGACCGCAGACTCCCTGAGCCACGCAGAGGCCAGGGTGCTGCTGCAGCATTTTTACTGTGCTCATTTAGACTCATTTACACACTTGGGTTTGCATTTTAAACCTGGTCTCTCGATTGTATACTTGACAAGAAGCATCAGCTCTACAAAGTATTTCAGGTTATGAACTAATAAAAAGCTCATTGTGAGCAAAAAAATTAAAGATAGTTCCATTTAAGGAATTCACTTTGTTTTTTTTTTGTTTTTTTTTTTGTGCTGTCATTTAGTTTATTAAGCCTTTAAAAAATATCTCACAGATGTATATTTGAGGTCATTTTATACCATTTTTGAATCTGTCATAATTCCGTAGCTACTATGGATGTAATGTAAGATGTTAAGGTTTATAACAAAAAACTGTAGTAATACAGCAAAGATAGATACATGCTGTGATCAAGAACTTCTCACATTAATCATGATTTATATTAAAAGAAAATATTCTCACTGTCATTGTTTCATTTTTAGTTTTAGTTCATAAATAATAGCTGAACCTTTCAATTTCTCATTCAAGAATTAGAATCAATGAGGACAGTTTTTCTTCTCTGATTTACCCATGTTAATTCTGTTCTGCCAGCGACATCGCAGGAATGCTGCTGAAGTCCACAGGAAGCTTCCTGGAGTCTGGCTTACAGGAGAGCTGTGCTGACTTCTGGACCAGCGCTGACGATAGTAGCGCTTCAGACGAAATCAGGTTGCAATACCTTTTCTGCCCTACCTGTTTCTCCCTTCCTGGAGCTCTCCCCCAACAGTGGCCCTGAAATGAGCCTTGTTACACCAAGTTGGGGTGGGCTTCAAGAAACTGGGCAGTAGACTCTCAGGGGTGTGTCAGTGTTGTATTTTCACCTGATCTCCTAGTTAAGCTTTCGTGTGAAATTTTTTTTTTTCTCCCCACCCGCCCACCCCCCCGCCCCCCATCGGCCGCAGAGCAGGGCGACTCCTGTGAAATTTTCTTTAAAGGTGCACGTAAAGCCTACTTAGCCTAATAAGACTGGTGTCTTTGAAAAGAGGGAAATAGGCTAAGTTGACTGAAAATGAGTAGGGAGGGCTTCGTGTGTGAGGTCTAGGGTGTCTGAGTGCTTGTCGCCATCCTTAGAGCCTCCGCAGCCGGCCCTTTCTGCATGCACTTGACATTTGCTGATTTTACGGCTTTTATGCTGAACTTACACGTCTGTTGAACTTTAAAACTGAAGTTCACGACAGCACTTGTTGCTCACCTACTGCGCTTCCTCCAGTCTGCAGACAGTGCTCAGCTGCAGCATGTTACATTGCAGTGTGCGGCACAGGCCTAGTCACCAGCCTCTGGGGGCTGTTAGCAGGGCTTAGAGAGGCAGTATCAGGGAGCGCCCTGATGGACCCGCCCTCTGAGCCAAAGCATTCTCTTTCACCATCCAGAATGTGGTGGAAAGTGAGTTTGGTGTATCAGAACACCTAAGTGTCTTTGCACCAGGATAAAGGAAGAACTTGCCACCAAGATTTTTCTCACCTGGAAAAATGCTCATCAGCATAACAGAATGAATCAGTTTGTAGATGATCTTGCTGTTGCAGAAACTGACAGTCCCAGAAGGTGAAACACTAAGATGGCCAGTGAGACGCCCCGCTTGCTCATTTGGGATGGATCTAGGAAGAGGGCGCGTGCCCCAAGTATGCGGGGCAGCCACGTGCATGTCTCCCCACATTGTTCTCCTGTGTCTGCTGGAAGTTTGCAGTCAGTCTGATGGCAGCATTTACCCCAGGAAAACTGGCAGGCACTACATAAGACAGTGTTTTGGAAGCATATTTATCCACCCACTACTGTCTGTTTTTCTTTTTAATTAGATTATCAGCTGCAATCAAGAATTTATCTAAAACTCAAGACATTATTATTATGAAATCTTTAGAAAATGAAGCTAGTTATTTGAAAGTTATTAAATGTGACCTACTTTGAAGACTACAACTACTTTCTAGGAAATTGGGGAGCAATATTTTAAATTTAATTTGAATAAGTTCTCAATGATAACTTCCATTATAAAATCTTCAAGCTTTATTAATGTGATTTTGAATTTGCTTCAAATTGTTACCTATTTCTTGATCTTCCCTAATGTATTCTAATTGGGTTTCAATCCACCCTGCAGGAGATCTGTTATTGAGATTAGTCGAGCACTGAAGGAGCTCTTCCACGAGGCCAGGGAAAGAGCCTCGAAAGCCCTTGGATTTGCTAAAATGTTGAGAAAGGTGAGTGGGTGAGTGGGTGAGTGAGTGAGTGAGCGAGAGAGCAGTCCTGATTACATTGTTGTTTCTCATCTTACTTTCTGAAAAGCAGACCTAAGGAAGTTTCTTTGTAACTGTCATCCTAGGACCTGGAAATAGCGGCCGAGTTCACCCTTTCAGCCCCACTGAGAGAGCTGCTGGATGTTCTGAAGTCAAAACAGTATGTTAAGGTAAAGACTGAAGGAAGAGGGTGTGGTGGAAAGATCATGCCTTTCCTCTAAAACAGGCAAACTTCTTAATAGCATAGAAAGTAAATACTTCAGACTTTGCAGGTCATACGAAGTCTTACCACACACTGACCACAGATGTAAGACTCTCATAATTTCCCAATGAAATAATAGGGAAAAACAAAATTTTTCATGCTTACTAACTTATTTTATTTTAAGACTACATAAAAAATAATCAAATATTTACTTATACTATTTAAGTTGTTAAATTGCATATATATTTAAAATCATTTATATAAAATACATTGATTTTAAATAGTGGCTTTGTCTTTTATATACATTTCCTGAAATGATTCAAACTTTTTACATGAACTTCTGACATCAGTGTCTTGCTCATCACTGGAGCCACTTTTTCAGTCACCATCTTTGTTCCCATCAAAGTTGTTCAGATTTGTTGCTTTTAGAGTCTGTGTATGAAGTGGTTACTGGAGATTTTATTCCAAGTCCACAGTTATGTCCCACCCACACTTTGTGTGTGATTTGCACAACATAATCAACTTGTATTCCATGTTGAATCTCCAGCAGGGCTTTATGATACCCCACCAAGATTAACTGATGAAGCGGTATTAACACTTTTGCCTGAATCAAGTCATACGGGCTTCACAAAATAGCAGTGAGAGAATGTTTCAGCCTGGCATTCCTCCCCTGGAGAGTATTTTCTATGGTGTTGAAGATGAAGCAGTTGGAAGGTGCCCTGGACGTGGAGAAACTTTGCAAGGCTTCTCCATGTCCACACTCTTCTCTGCTCCCACCTCACCAAGCTGAGCTCCACACTTTCCCATATCAGTCCCCCAATGCCATTCCCACACCTCCTTCCCCACACCTGCTTGTCTTTCCCAAGTTTTTGTAAGTGACATTTCTGCAATGTATGACATTCCTTAATTTAAGGTTTTGGATTGTTTCTTTTCCAGGTACAGATTCCTGGCTTGGAAAACTTGCACGTGTTTGTCCCAGACATTCTTGCTGAGGAGAAGAGTATTATTTTGCAGTTACTCAATGCAGCTGCCGGCAAGGACTGCTCAAAAGATTCAGATGACGTACTCATTGATGCCTACCTACTTCTGACCAAGCACAGTGACCGTGCACGGGACTCGGATGACAGCTGGGCCGCGTGGAACGCTCAGCTGGTGAAAATTGTGCCTCAGGTGGAGACGGTGGATACTCTGAGGAGCATGCAGGTGTGTCTCCCTCCTGGCTCCCACACCCTGCCTAGAAGTAACATCACTTAAAATACCTTCAGGCAAAATGAGTTACTGGTGACTTGCGAATGATTAGTTTAGCTGTCTAGGCGTCTCGAGTGTCTCCTTCCCAAAAACAGGCCTCCGTATTTTAATAGGTTACACTGCCACCTAACTTGCCCTCACTATCCCATTAATTCTATGTTTGTTAAGTTACCCTGGAGTACTTGAAATACTTCCTTTCTATCTTCTCCCAGTTGAGCTATGTTGTTAGGTCTCTATACCCATGATCTCAAGGGAATTCTCATACCCATTTGATTTGTAGTTCCAGAAATCCCGGTTATCCAAGCACCCTAGTTCACTGGCTTTAGAGTTCATCTTTGTAATAAAGACTACGCCTACTCCCCACACCCCTGGAGATTTGTGGCACTTTATGTAGCTCATGAACGAAGGCTATAAGGCCTCCCCCTGTTTTCTCAGTGTCCCCAGACCCCTCAAACTCAGCCTGATGGGCTGAGTGTCACCCAACTCTACAGATCTGTCCTTTGACTTGTATTCCCTGTCTCAGGAACGATGCCCTGTCCACTTAGCTATTCAGAATACGGCTGTGTACATTCAGCCTCTGCCCTTTCTGTTAACCACTAGGCCTAGCAAGCCCAAAGCGCTTCAAGCAAATGACCGTTTTCCTGCCTCCCAGAATCACTGCCACACTCAGAGCCCCTCATCCCCTTCCTGGACCACTGCGGTGTCCGTTGTGGCTTCCCTGCTTTAGGCCTCCCCTTCTCTCCTCCAGTTCAGGGCTGTGTTTGCTTGTTTTTTCTGGTTCTCCCACGATCATAATTTCTAGCCCAGATCGCATTCCAAATACTGCAGTGACTCTCACTTAAAAAATAATACAGTCTTGATTTCTTATTATTTCACTCAAGGTCCTTCATCTCGTCCCACCCTTACTCCTAGCTTCCCTCTCGCACACATGCATGCCCACACACTGCACAGGGGTGCTGAGTTACTGGAGGTTCTAGGATGTCTCAAAGACACCTTGCCCACCCCATCCTGTGAGATTCTGACCACGACACTGAGGACTGGACGTGCCCGCCATGGCGCGCTGCTCGGTGGGAGCCCCTGTGCTGGCCAACTGCTTTCCCGTCAGGTAGCCCTGAGACTGACTTTGATTTTAGGCTTGGGGTTGAATTAGAAGGGGAACAGTAACTGAGTCTGTTTTTTAAGCCCTGTGCTTGATTTTCTTCCCAGGTGGAAAACCTTTTACTAGTTGTCATGCAGTCGGCCCACCTCACCAGTCAGAGAAAGGCCTTCCAGCAGTCCATTGAGGGGCTCATGACTCTGCGCCAGGAGCAGACCTCCAGTCAGCCTGTCATTGCCAAGGCTTTGCAGCAGCTCAAGGTACCTCACTGCCAGCTCTCCCTGGGCTTGGTTCCTTAGGTGTGGATGCAGTGTGGGGAGAACCCCTGCAATTTATGTAATGTTGTGCACAGGAATTGAGCTTAATTTTGAATTTGAACTTAAATTCCCCTTCCCATTCTTCATCTTTCCAGTACACACTTTCCCAGGTCAGAATTAAAAATTTCCCGAATCTTTTCCTGAAACTATAGAGTGTTAATTGGAAGGATAGAAATTTGAGCAAATTGTGTGACTTCTTGATGGTTCCATGGTCAGTTAGTAGCAAAGTTGCTATTGGAGAAAGTCTCTTCATTTCTAACACAAGTTTCTTTCTCCCTTAGCAGTTGCCAGCAGTTTTTGGAGGCCCTCCAAGTCAATAATGTGTAATCTCAAAGATTTATTTATTCTTTCATTGAACAACTAATGCAGCCAAATCAAGTGTGATAGAAAAGGCCTGTTGTGGACAGGCTCGAGGGCCTTCCCCACGCATAAGCTAGGCTCGCTTTCCTTTCCTGTGCTGGCTGCTTTCAGTGGGGGGGCGTGTTCATCTGCCTTGGTCTTGTTCACACTTTTCCACAGGCCATCACTGATCTGTCATAAGGCTTGGCTTCTTGAAAAAGTGCTTCTTGAAATTACAAGTAGTTTGACAAACATTTATTTTTCTTTTGTTGATCTGCTTTATTTCTCTATAAACATTATCTCTTCTAGCTTGCCAAAAGCAGGGAGACCACCAAGGTCGCCACTGCACTGTGATCCACTCTAGTTTGAGGGTAGGGATTTTTATCTTTTGTTTGAGTCAGTGAACTCTGGAGAGTACGAGATTTGAGTATTCTTGCGCTTGAGAAATGTATGGTCTTAATGACCCAAACTGTCTCTCTGAAGTGCAGAGGGAGGATTAGATGCTCAGAGGAACATCCAGAAACTGCCGCCATGGAGCTTGTTGCCAAGCTCTTCCGCTTGGGAGGGTTTCAGAGGGTGCAACTGGGAAGGAACATTTGGGCATTCGTGTCCATGGCTGGGGTCTGGGAATGCTCACTGAGACCGGATTGCCTGGTGTGACCATCCCCATCTCCTCCGTAGGAAGGAGTGTGATACAGGCTGATAACATCAGGTGGGCAAATATCAGACCGTTAAGAGAGTTTGGATTTTGTTTTCTCTCCTTCAGGGACTCGTAAATTTAGGAAGAATATTGCCAAACATTATGTAGGGGGATGGCCTGATAGAGACTGTTTGTATGTACATGCACGTGTGTTCCAGCATGGGTGGAAATTGTATTAGTATTGCTTAGGGAGATGACAAATGCTCGAACCAGGGCATCTAGTTCTCAACTTCTGCGCTGTTAACATTTTGGGTCAGTAATTCTTTGTTTTGGGGCACGTGTCCTGTGCGTTACAGCTGTGTCTTTGACCTCAACTCAGTTTGACCACCCTCTCCCCAACCCCGCCCCCCCCCCACCACCAAGTTTTAGTTTTAACAACTAACACTATGCCCAGGCATTGTCAGTTTCCCTTTAGGGCTTAAAATGGGGCCCAGTTAAGAACCACGATCTGTGACATGGAGACCATATTTCCTCTTGTGCAACGGCCCTGGGGAAAGGACCAGCCTCTAGTCAGTGTATCCAGCTACTGAAACTTTAAGCATCCTTTCAGAGACCACATTGTAATCAGGCATTATTATTATACATGGATTTTTTTCCCTCTTATGTATCATAAGATGTTAAAGACTACCTAATACAAATAAAATGAAAACAGTACATCTATTTTTAGTCATTCCTCTTGGATAACTAAGGTAAATGGGTTGAAGTACATTCTTGTGGTTAATGTTTATGTGTTAAAAGAAATCTTCCTTTAAAATACGTGTAGTATTATGTCATTTGATTTGTTTTGGATTAATTATGGTTTGGGACTCTTTAGAATGATGCATTAGAGCTTTGCAACAGAATAAGTGATGCCATAGACCGTGTGGACCACATGTTTACTTCAGAATTTGATGCTGAAGTTGATGAATCTGAATCTGTCACCTTGCAACAATATTACCGAGAAGCAATGATTCAGGGGTACAATTTTGGGTTTGAGGTAGGTACCAAATAAAAGGGAAAACACAATATAACTTAGTGATTGCTTTGTAACTTACTTGTAAATGTATTTTGAATCATGTAGGGCAAATGTGATTATGAGTTGTAGTCCATGCTTAGTCAAGAATTTCATCTTACACCACTGCTGTCAGGACTGTTTACTTTGAACGATCAGATAGTTGCCCAGTTTTTATTGTGTTAACAGCTATCCACTTACATTTTAAATTCTCCTTTAACAGATGACTACTGTCATAAAAATATATCCTTATGTAACCTGATGAGTAAGACACTTGCGATTGCCTTTTAACACATTATATTCTTTGTAACTCTTCATGCATACTCTTTTCAAACTATGCATATTTTAATTGGATTTGCTTTTTGTTTTTTAAAAAAAACATTTTAAACAGATGTGGCATTATAGTGTTTAGGTATTTGTATAATCATTGTTTTCTTCCTCATTTTGATAAGCTTGAAATCTTTCTTCTAGTATCATAAGGAAGTTGTTCGCTTGATGTCTGGAGAGTTTAGGCAGAAGATAGGAGACAAATACATCAGCTTTGCCCGGAAATGGATGAATTACGTGCTGACCAAATGTGAGAGTGGCAGAGGCACCAGGCCCAGGTAATGGCCACGGGGGTGTTGTGTTCACGAGCCCACGAGGTTGGGCGTATCTCATTCTCAATCTCTGTGTGGCGTTTCTGAGCAGAAGGTACCAGAAGAACATCTGAGCTCTTTGGTGATTAGGGCTTTCTCTTTTGTTGTAATGTTTTAATTAATTTTTTAAAATGAAACTGTTTACATAGAAAACCCTTTACCTCTAGGAAAACATTTAAAAGCCTTTTTCCAGAATCTTTCAGGGAATGCACGTTCTCCCCCAACAAGTCTTCCTGACGGTTAGTTTTCCTCCCTTATGAAATTTAAACCTGGTATTCAGTGTAAGTAGAAATGACTTAGTAACCACTTCCTCTACTGAGAAGCCATCTGTCCCTCTCTCCTCCAACATGTTGTGAGCTTACTCAGCCCCAGGCATTTATAGGGTTACAGAAAAATGTGTTTTGTCCTAGATGATCATTTTCCAATCACATTCCTTTGTAGTCTTTACACTAAAACTGCCACAGCAGTCCTTGGCGGTCTTGTCATTGTTGACTTTTCCTGTTCAACAGGTGGGCGACTCAGGGCTTTGACTTCCTCCAGGCCATTGAACCAGCCTTTATTTCCGCTTTGCCAGAAGATGACTTCTTGGTATGGGATATTTTGAAGTGTTTTTCATTAAAAAAAAAAAAAAAAAAATAAGTTGGCTGTTAACCATTCCTGATAGTGCTTTTTATTTTAAATAGTGATTCCTAAATATTTTTTGCATGATTGTAATGATCACGCTGAGATGTTAAAGCACACTTACTGGCTTTGTTGCCACAATAAAATACTCAGTACTCTTTTCTTTGACAGACTGTTCCACTGGCTACGTCAGTGTATAGTTGCTCGTGAAGCCTGGCACCTCTGACATGTGTGTCAGTTCCATATAAAGTGCTGATATAGTCACTGCTTTTTAGAGAATTAATGGTGAACAAGGATTAACTACCATTGTGTGTCATTTGAGAGCTTCATGCAAAATGTTAAATATTATGACTGTTATTCCAGTAAATTCTCTCAGGTCAAAAAATGCTCAGAATGTGAATTCCTTCATTGTAGCTACCAAGTAACAGGGACCGTGACGGAAGAAGTCCCTTGCTGTGAATGTCATTGCATTTTGAGAAGTTGAAAGCTGACTTGCTTTCACTTATAAAAATGGAATCGTGTGTTCATTATGTACAGCTGGTGTTCAATTTGTGTTTATACCTATTTTAACTTAACTTTGGAAGTATTTACTAAGGGTAGCATGTTTCTTTTGAATATACTGAATACTTAATTTGTGCTACCTGTCACATTGAGAGAGCGCACATTATCTTCTCCTTTTGTCCTTTGGTTTCTAGAGTTTACAGGCCTTAATGAACGAGTGCATTGGCCACGTGATAGGGAAGCCACACAGCCCTGTTACAGGTTTGTACCTTGGTAAGACAGCAGTCAGCGTTTCTCTAGAACCCCTGGCATGGGTGAGCACATTGGCTTGTTAGTTAAGCTCATTCCAAACAGTATAGAGAATCTTTTAAGAATATTCAGGAGCATGATGGTGCAAGTCACAAAAACGAGGTGTGTGTGGCGAGAACTCACAATAATCTTTTTAAACTCACCAGGAATTAAAATGCCAACATAAGGTATTCAGTGCTTGCCAATGGTGTCACACTGTGGTTTTCCCCACACTGACAGTCCCATTCTGTCCTCCCCCTTAAATCTCATCTCCTGTGGAGGAAAGATGTGGGAAAGCTGGTTGTCTGGTAAGGAGCAGGGCCTTCCTGCTACAGGTGGGTGGGTGAGTGTTAGGGCCTTCCCCCCCTGCCAGCTTATGTGGGAGAAAGAGTTCCTTTACTTCTTCACGACTTCTCTAAGCACCCATTTCCCCACTAATGTCGTAAAACTCCTGTTTGGGTTTACTGGGAAAAAAAAAAGTTGCACAACAGTGTACTTGTGCTTTTTTTTTTTTTTTTTTTTTTTTAAGTTTTAAGTTTTTGTGGTCCCATTGGCTTCCAATATTGTATAAATTTCAGGTGTTTGGCTTTATGTTTCATCCTTCATTTGTAGACACTGCACTGTGCTGACCGAGTTAACAGAGGTCAATATGCTATAATTACAGGTTTCAAATAGTTAGATATAGTTTTACAGGGAAACATTAAAATATATCAAAAAGGCTATCTATGTCTTGTCGCATTCTTCAGATAATAAAACTATTTCCTTGTAATAAGCATCCCAGAAAGAAAATTCAGACATTTTAGGCAATTGAAGTACACCAAATAACCCAGTTCTTAAATGGTAAATTAATTGAGCAGCAACTATATTTTAAAGTACTTGCTAGTTACAGAAACATTAGTAGATCATTGTAATGTATGGTTTCTCTCAGTTTAGGACACATTTTCTCCCAACGCTGTTATCAAATTGAAGTTACCATTTGCAAAACTATTTGAGCATTTTTATAAATGTGCTATATATTCTTATCAAACTTTTGATTAAGCATAGTATTATAAATACCTTAATTTTTCAATCTTCTAAAATAGTTCTCTGAAAATATATGATCAATGATCCAGTAAAAATTCTTTAAAATATTTTATTATAGAGGGAATAATTTTCTTTGTAGAAAAAATTTGCAGTGTTGCAAATATATAGAAAGAAAAATTTTCCAAAAGATATAATCCCATTTGGACTTTCTTTTCAGTGAAGTATCAGTTCTTCAATATATAAAACTCTTCAGTGCCTTGAAGAATGTTAAACTGTGTGCATTATTTCACAGAATGTTTTTATTTTATTCCTTCATAGGAAAATTTTGTCATCTATTTTTTACTGAGGTACCATTAGTTTACAAATCTGTACAGGTTCCAAGTTACATTTTCTCACCACACCTACCACCCAGGGTCCAGTCACATCCACCAGCATTTATAGTGATTTTTGACTCAGTACTTTCCTGTGTATCTGTTACATTAAATACATCACCACCCGCAGCAACTCATTTAACTTGTGGTCATCTTACCTGTGCTGCTGTTGACTCCTCCCATTTAGTATTGCAGCGGTTAGAGAATGAGTCAGGACCATAGATTGCCTGCATATTTTTTTTAGTTCTTGGTTTTCGTTTTGAAAATTTCCCCTTAAGATTTTTCCATTTTTTGTACTTCTGTCTTTGCTATGTAGTTTATTAAAAGCAAGCAAACCAACAAAAACCATGAAGAAAGTGTTTTCATTTAGGATAAAACATTTATAGAATAAAACATACATAGACTAAATTATTAACACGTGAAGAGAAAATATGACATTTAAAATCAACTAAGAAGCGTTAACAAAGCTAGAAGAAAGGAAAACATGTTAGGGAGAAATCCCTCGCTAGTTACATCTCGCTGCTGGACAGGGAGACTCGTCAACATTATCTGTAAACATTAGGTAAAGTCTATTGTTAAAATTTATCCAATTTCAAAATTTTGTTTTAAATTTTATGCATATTTAGCTTCCATCAGAATATTTTTAAAAAGAAAAGGAAACATTCTGAAAAACAGAAATAACCAGATTAAACTGTGCCACATACTCCTGGTTAGTTTAAAAGAATCCCACACGCTCAGCGGATCTCCACGTGTTCAGGGGAATGCCAGAGACGTCCCCCCCATGCAGGACTGGTGAAGTGTTCCCACTGTCTTTGTGAAAATGCGCGTAGCGTAACTTCAGCTAGACCAACTCCACGTAGCCACGTTTTATTTCACAGCTGTAAAATGAGTTAAACCCTTTATTTCACATACATTGTGTACATTTCAAAAAAACGCTTTTAATGGAGACACATTTGAATGTATTATATCCCCTTTAAAAGATGGCATTTTCCGTGGCCTTTGTATATGTCGTACGGCTCCACGGTCACAGCACAGCTCCGTCGCAGCGCCTTTCCGTGGACGTGCCTCCCGGAGCAGTTTTCTGTTTGACCTTTTAACAAGTTGCCTCTGTCGCTATCTCCCCCCCTCCCGGCAGCGATTCACCGGAACAGCCCCCGTCCTGTGAAGGTGCCCCGGTGCCACAGTGACCCTCCTAACCCGCATCTGATTATCCCCACTCCAGAGGGATTCAGGTACCTGCCGCTTCCGCGCCGTTGCCGGGTGCTCTCCTCTGCCGCGTGCTAATACTCTGGCTGCTGCCGGGCGCTTGCTCTGATAACGCAGTAATGTTTTCTGTGTTCCTATTCCTGTATTTTCAGAAGCTCTCGTTTGCATTATCTGGAGGACATTCCAGCAGTGTGTTGGTTGCAAAAGAAAGGCATGCGAATTTAAAACAGACTGTAATTCCAATGTAACTTAGGTTCTTGGCTTATTTATAATCTCAAGCTACTCAACGCTTTCTAGCTTTGGAATAATTCTTTTTCTTCCTTAGAATGACCTAAGAAAAACGAATTGGAGAGTGCCTGGTATAACGAACATGGCGGGGCGGGGTGTGGGGAATTCTGTTTAAATTTAAAACTGGAGAAAAACTGAGGTGATCTTTCCAGTTTGGGTTTTTATGTGTGTGTGTAACTGGAGCAACTTAAGTACTAAAGGGAGCTCAGAAACTCTAGTTCTGAAATACTTCCCTTGAATGTGGTGGCATTTTTGCTTCTTAAAGGCCGTGAGCATCTTCCCTCCCCTGGGCAGTCACTTTCAGAAGTCCATTTTGACAGTATTTGCTGAGAAAGGACCACAAGTACCTTTTAGAATTAGTTGGAAGTTAGTTTTCTTTTCCATGCCTAGACCTGATTCTTGATCAAAGAAGGAGCTGCACTCTCTAACTTCAAGTATTTTTCACTTTCTCACCCTGTTTATCTCTAATTGAAAACCGCTTGGGAGCCCGTCCCCGTTTCTTGCCTGTTTCCTGAAGCTTCTCTTCTCGTCTCAGCACTCGGAGCGTGCCCTCGGACGTGCGGAGCCACGGCAGCCCCGCGCCCAGTCGCCCCGGCCCCTCAGGCGGCGACTCTGCGCCACCCAAACCCATCAGCAGTGCCCATGACACCAGGTAGCCTCATCCCCCCAGTGTCATGTCCCCGTGCCCGCCCCGCCCCTCATGTGCGTCTGCCGTGACCCCGGCTTTGGGTGGGGCGCCGGGCGCGAAGGGCCTCCAGGGCCTCTGCCTGATGGCTAGAGTCTGTGCCATCGTAACTTTACGGCAGAATCAAAGAACCTGCCCTGCCGCCCCTTAGGAGCCCCAGGAGCGTTTCGGCAGAGCGTGTCTCTCCCGAGGCCCCACGTGGTGAGTGGGGCGTCTGGCAGCACTGAGGTGGTGGCTGGTGGATTTAGGAAGATCGCCTTTAGCGGGATTCCTTACCTCATTTGGACTACTGTTGATTAGAGCGCGTGTGTAAGAGGAGAAGTGAGTGTACGGGTTGGTGTCTCATGGAGACTAGAGCCCCCTGGCCGCGCGGGCAGGCCGAGCCTCTCGCCGAAGCCCTCTGCGCTAGTCAGTGGCGTGTGTGGCCGGCCCCCTCCTCACGTCCGGTGGGGCTGACCCTACGGCCTCCATTCCTTACAGGGGAAGGATCTGGGCTCGTGTCCTGTTCCTCCCTGTGTCTGAGATTATGAGGGAGCGGGCTCTGTGCCACTCCGGAGCGGGAGAGCCTTGGATTGTGGGCAGAAGGTGACATGTGGCTTTCGTGTTGAGTTTCTTCCTGACAGTCTGGAACTTGTACAGACATTTCCATTCTCTCAGTGGAAATTTAAATTCTCCCATTTTCATTCATGAAAATAATATTTCTAATTTTTACTAGTAAATACCCTTAACCAGAAAAAAATCAAAGTATTTTATAGCTGAAGCAGTCAGCTGAAAAAATTAACCATTAACACTGAGCACATCGCACTTGCCCACTTCATTTTTGTGTTTAGAGCATCCCATGGTTAACATTCCACATCGGCTAAGAGTCCCCGTGGCCACTGACCTTGTCGCTTTTCTGCGTGCAATGCAGTCAGGCAAGTGACCTTCCATGCAGTCATTGGTGGGGACAGCATGGCCTGAACCACAGTGCCTGGCCCCATGCCTGCCGCCCCCCCTTCACAGAGCTTCCCCCAGAGCTGGAGGAGGGCACCGTGCCCGCGTGGCGAAGGCTCTGGCTCAAGCTGTGTTAAGGCCCCGGTGAGCTGGTGTGTGGCAACCCTAAGTGTGTTCAGGATCCAGGAAACACCACCATGGCCTTTTAAAAGCTGCAGGTGGTCTAGGCTGCTCCTCGCTAGGCCTCCGCGTGTAGGGAGTAGCGTTTCATGAGAATTCTTCATCTCAAACGTGAACATGCTGCAGGAGGGCCCTTGGTAATTAGAACTCACACTGGATGGCCCTGTGCCTTCTCAGAGCCATGGATGAAAGGGATAGAGTTGGCGGTGCAGGCAGAGCTGTGTGAAGACAGGGGGCTCCCTTACTCGCCCCTGCCCGTGCCTGCCATGCACTCCTTCCCGGAGGCCTGGGCAGTGGGCTTGGGCGCACCCGCCCTGAGAACCTGGGTCGCCTGTGGCCCTGAGCTTGTGAACGTGCTGAGGAAACCAAATGGCTGCCCTGCCGCTTCCCGCGTGGTGGGTGCCCAGCCTGGTGCTCCGCCCGCACCTGCCTTAGACGCCCTTCCCCCCACCTTGGCTCCACCAAGCAGTGTTTTGCTTGCTGCTGGCTCCTCCTGCCTTGCAGGAGCCGATTGTTCATTTTATAGGATTGTGCCAGCCACTTTTACGCCACAGAAATCGTCAAACTCCGCGAATTTCCCCGACCCTCCCTCACCCCCTCCTCGACAACAGCTGTTGGACCATTGCCAGTGTCACACTCGACTTAGGTGCATCTTCTTGCCTTTCACCCTGGCAAAAATTTCTGTGGGCCCGAGCTGGCGCATTTCTTCTCCCGGAAATCAGCGAGTGGAGGTGCCCTGGCGCTTGTGGCCAGTCCTTGGCACGGCTAAGGGGGTGGATGTGTTTCTAGTGAATGGTGCCAGGACTTTTTAATGAGCTCTGTGGCTAGGGAAGGTGTCCCCTTCTCTTCAGACATCACAAGGACTGTGCCTGACCTGGGCATCCAGACTGAAGCGCATCCCACGCACCAGCCCCCGTGGGCATCTGTTCAGTGGGCCACACCGCCTTAGCTGTCCAGCGTGTCGTAAAAAGAGCATAAATGCTACCATACTTCATTACTTCATTCATAAATTGCACACTAAACTTATTAATAAACTAATGCCGTACTTACTTTAGATTATTTGAATTACAATTTTAACACATCCCTTACTTCTGGGCTTTACTCCTTATGGGGTCATTCTGATTTCTGGACACTTCACTTTATTCTGGAAAAGCAGCATATTAGCTTGTTCCGTGCCTCTTGCGCTTCCTGCTCCTGTGCACTCTGGCTTGGCAACTGCTCGAGCAGTCTGTGGGTGTCCCTCCCACGTCCGTACTAGTTGATGTGAAATCTTTGGAACTGTAATGATTTTAACACTTTAAGTAGAATAAGTACGTAAATATAATTTGGTGGCAATTTTAAATATTAGTCAGATACGGTAATAATTTTCATCCTGGGCTTAAGTTGTGGCGCTTTCCACATGCCAGTAAATGCCAGATTGTTTTTTTATTTGTTGTTTTTAATATGAAAAGGTGTATTATGCCATCAGGTTTTCATGTTGACTGTGGAGAGATAAAAGTATAACTCTCAGGCTCCACATTGGTTTCTCAGCAGCAGTGCTATTCATTTTGAGTAATTCTTTGGGGCTGTCCTTTTCGATGTCTTCTACTGAACAGGTGATAGTTGTCCCAAGGGATGATCACCCCAGTTGAGAATCAGCTCTAAAAGAACCTCTCTGACCTTGTATTTTTACACTCTGTTGAACTGCTAGCTCAATTTGTGACAATGTTCAAACAGGGGCTCCAGTGTCCCTGAGAACGACCGCCTGGCTTCCATCGCGGCCGAGCTGCAGTTCCGGTCCCTGAGCCGTCACTCCAGCCCCACCGAGGAGCGAGACGGTCAGTGCCCAAGGCGCCAGCTACCCCCCCACCCTGTGACTGTCTCCTCCCCAGTCCCTACTGTCAGTGCCTCAGACGAGTGAAGAACAGGTGGTGGCGCTGAGGGGGTGATGTGGCCCACGGCGGCTTTAGCTCAGAGACCGTATCAGCCGTGTCTGTGTTTTCCAGGTCTGCTTTTGTTGTTCTTTAAAAAGTTATTCCTGGGCCTCCCCTGGTGGCGCAGCAGTTGAGTGCTGGGCTGCGAGGCTGCCTGCAGCCTCTGCAGCGCCAGTTCGTTCCCTGGCCAACGGCGAGGGCCCCACCAAAAAAAAAAAAAAAAAGTTATTTCTGATATTTCAATGTCCACACACTGTTATTTGCCTCAAAAATCCAAAAGGCCAACCACAGTGGCCTAGGAGTTAGTCTCACCACTGTCACCGCCACATCCCCAACCAGGGAGCTATCCACAGGGCTCAGCAGACCTCTCCTGTCTCCCCGCTGCTCCCCTCAGCAGTGGATTTCAGTAGACTGCCTGTTCTGTTCCCCACTCTGTCTCTGGTCAATCCTCTCACCCTGCAGCCCTGGCCTTCACCCCAGTTCCTCTACTAAATCAATAAGTAAATATTAAAAATAATACAAAGGTTGATGATACGCTGAAGTTCTGCTGTATTGCAGACCTAGGAGTTTTCACCTGGGGACTGTGCGTCACCAGTGCTTAACCTGCTGAGCGCCAGGGCAGGACTTCTAAGTGGGGTCCCCAAAGAATCCAGTTTCTGTTTAGGATCCATTGTCTGTTACTTGTGGAAACACTTATTTGGGTGCAGTTTCCTAGAACAGTTTGTGGAGGTAGCGTCTCTCTGATGCTACAGAATGAAACCTGCCTCTGGGAAGACGGCCCTGCTGACTCCTGGCCCCCGGCCTCGCTCCTGTGTCTGTCTCATAAGTCTTGGTTCTTCATCCCACAGAACCAGCGTATCCAAAAGGGGACTCCTGTGGGTCAGCCCGGAGAAGTTGGGAGCTTCGGACGCTCATCAGCCAGACCAAGGGTAAGGAGGTCAGATGTCAGACTCCTTGTTCAGGCATGAAGCGAGCAGGTTCAGCTGCTGAGGTGTCAGGCCTCTGAGGCGGCGTGTGCTGGGCCTGCAGTCCCCACCCTGCTCTCTGATGCGCTGTTTCTGCTCATCCCCTGCTGTGGCAACCGCAAGCCCATTTGAGTCAGACACATGTTTAGTCGCCTTTGTGTTTTTTAACTCGCTGTCATTAGTTTCCTGTCACCGTAGGCCCTAAGCATAATTCTTTGTGCGTGGCAGATAGCTGGTAGATGTCTGTGAAATAAATACTCATTCATTTCTTTGTTAAGAAATTAGGAGATTTTCTATTCAATTCCATTGGTCTGTATGTCTGTTCTTGTTCCAGTACCATGCAGTTCTGATGATTATGGCTTTATAGTATAGTTTGAAGTCTGGGAGTGTGATGCCTCCATTCCCTTCTTTTTTTTTTCAGAAGAGCTTTGGCTATCCGGGGTTTTTGGTGATTCCATACGAATTTCATCAATAATTGTTCTATTTCTTTGAAGAATGTCATTGAAATTTTTATTGGAATAGCATTGAATCTGTATATTGCTTTTGGTAGGATGGCCATTTTGATGATGTTTATTCTTCCAATCCATGAGCAGGGGATGTCTTTCCATTTCTTTGTGTCTTCTTCTATTTCTTTTAACAGTGTTTTATAGTTTTCTTTGTATAGGTCCTTTACCTCTTTTGTTAGATTTATTCCCAAGTATTTGATTTTTTTTGTTTCGATAATAAAAGGGATGGTTTTTTTGATTTCTTCTTCTTCACATTTTTTGTTTGTGTATAGGAAGGCTACTGATTTTTGAGTGTTGATTTTGTATCCTGCCACTTTACTAAACTGATTGATTAGTTGAATTAGTTTTTCTGTGGAGTTTTTGGGGTTCGCTATGTATATTATCATATCATCTGCAAATAGTGATAGTTTAACTTCTTTTCCTATTTGGATTCCTTGTATGTCTTTCTCTTGTCTTATTGCTCTGGCTAGGATTTCCAGTATTATATTAAAAAGGAGTGGTGAGAGTGGACATCCTATGAATATGCACTGGAGCAAAGAAAGTTTGTTCAATAAATGGTGCTGGGAAAACTGGGTCGCCACATACAAAAGAATGAAGCTTGACCACTACCTCACACCGTGCACAAAAACCAACTCAAAATGGATTAAAGAACTGACATAAGATCTGAAACCATAAAATACATAGAAGAAAATATAGGTGAAACACTACATGACATGCACCTCAAAGACATCTTTACAGACACATCACCCAAAGCAGTGATAGTGAAGGCAAAGGTAAACAGCTGGGACTACATCGAATTAAAGAGCTTCTGCACAGCAAAAGAGACAATAACCAAAACAAAGAGAAACCCCACCAACTGGGAGAAAATTTTTGCACACAACACTAATGATAAAAGACTGATCACAAAAATCTACAAACAGCTGATGAGACTCAACAAAGACAAAGAAAATAATCCAGGCAAAAAATGGGCAGAAGAGCTAAAAAGAAACTTCTCTGAAGAAGAAATGCACATGGCCAACAGGCATATGAAAAAATGTTCAACATCACTTCTAATCAGGAAAATGCAAATCGAAACTATAATGAGATACCATCTTACACCAGTGAGAATGGCACATATTAAAAAAACTAGCCACAACAAATGTTGGCAAGGTTGTGGGGAAAAAGGAACTCTCCTGCACTGCTGGTGGGAGTGCAAACTGGTCCAACCACTATGGAGAGCTGTGTGGAGATTTCTGGACCTACTAAACATAGAGCTTCCAAAGGATCCAGCAATTCCACTCCTAGGTATTTACCCAGAGGACACAGAAACATCAATTCCAAAGAACACCTGCACCCCTATGTTTATAGCAGCACTATTTACAATAGCTAAGCTTTGGAAACAGCCCCAAATGCCCAAAAATAGATGACTGGATCAAGAAGATGTGGTCCATATACACCATGGAATATTACTCAGCAATCAAAAAAGATAAACACATGCAGTTTTTGCAGCAACATGGATGGAACTAGAAGGGATCATGCTCAGTGAAATAAGCCAGAAAGAAAAAGAAAAATACTGGATGGTCTCACTCATAGCAGGAATTTAGAAAGCCTAAATAAGGGACCAGGAAAAAGACTAATCAATACAAAGTAAAAATCAAAATCAACAAGCAACTATAAACCAGAGACACACTACGGGGGGGGGGGATTAGGGGGGGGGGGGAAAGGAAGGACTAGAGTCAAAATAAGGGGGGGTGCAATTGTATGGGGAATATAACCAAAATGAAAATGCATACATTGTGCAAAGATGAAAAAGGATGTAAGAATTATATAAAATAAAATATTTAAATAAAATTAAAAAAAGAAATTAGGAGAAAGTTTATCTCACAAAATGGGTTAGTTTTAGCCATCACCAATGGGAAAGTTTTACCCAGAAGCAGAACAGCACAACAGTAGCAGGGCCATCTCTGGCCTGGCCCTGGGTGGTCACAAGTGCTGTCACATGTGCTCTGTCACTACAGTCTGGAGCAGCAGGCAGAAGAGCTCTCACTCTCTCTCCATAAATGATAAGGATTCCCGGACCTCCCTGTCTCTGGAGCAGCTGGTGTATCTGGGCAGTGGGAGGGTGAGGAAGAGGACGATGCTGAGGCAGGTCACCCACGGGCCTGGGTTGGGGCGATGGCTTGGAAGACGTTGCGGGAACGCAGCCTCACCTGGATATGGGGGGGGTGCGGTTCACAGGGAGTAACGGGGCCAAGCAGCGGTGGCCCAGGTGGACAAGGCATGCGCTGTGTGGCTTGAGCCTGGCGATGGGGACCACCTCTCTGTGGCTCCTACTTACCAGTAGTTCCCACGGGTAACAGTCCTCGCGAGGATTTTCAGAACAAATGCTCTGTGGTAAAGTGAACTTAGGTATGTGGGGAGAGTTACAGTTCACGCTGACCTATTACAGACCGACAAATCTTGAGCAATTTTTGTGTGAAGAAGTAAGCCTCTCCCAGGAGTACTTGACAGTGGCGCGCCTCTACTCACAGCTGCTGAAGTCTTGCTGGTTGCTGAGTGGGCTGCTGGGTCACATGCTGAGGTGAAGGAAGAGAGGATCCCTGTTCTGGAGAAGTGATGATGGCTAAGAAACTGTAATTAGAGCACCATGAATCTTTGGGAATTTCTCTTCTGAAACTTCTCACACTTGTCCCTGTCCTCCGTGGTCACTTGTCTGCCAGGAAACCCTGCCCTCAGCACATGCTGAGGCATGTGAGGAGCGCCGTGACAGTGACAGGTGCTGCACGTGCAGCCATGGCCATCGGTGAGCTGCGGGGTCAGCATTAAACAACGACCTAGGATCGATCCGACGTGTGTGGTTAGGGAGATGCCTCATGAAAGTGTTGGTGTGGACGCCTGTGTAAAAGATCTTTCTTGTTGTAAATCATGATAGAGTAAGCTGGGTGAAGATAGGGAGCCTGATGGAAAATAAGGACTTAGCAGATGGGGAGCTAAGGTATGTCACCTACTGCTGTGTCCCAGGCCCGGGCTAAATGCACCACAGCAGCACTTCATTAAATCCTCGCTGTGGTGTCGTGAGGCAGGTGTTGCTACCTCACAGGTTAGGATTTTGATACATAAAGTCAACTTACTTGTCCATTGTCGGGCACCTAGAAAATGGGGAACCAGGAGCTGACCTCAGGGCCCCCACTCCGTGCTCTTCCCAGAGAAGGACATCTGACCCCTTCCCATCAGAGGCGGCTTCCCGGGAGACAGAGGCCTTCTGGCGGAGGCTGCTCAAGCAGGCACTGGCTGGGATGGCCTGAGGCAGACAGAAGCATGTGAACAGGCATGGGGGGAGATGGGGCCGGCGTGTCCGTGAGAGTCTCTTACGCTCGGCCTGTCCAGAGCTGGTGGCAGGAGAAAGAACCTGCTGAAGAAGTAAACAGGCCAGGTCCAGGGCGTGTAGTCTGCGTGAAGGACTGGATTTTTTGGTAAATAGATTGTGGAGAACCATGAAATAGAGAGCTGTGGTCAAATTTTATGTGTTTGGGAGAAGTTCTTGCCGATAGGAGAGAGAACTGCAGGGAGGAGAAGCCAGGGACACGTGGTCTGACTGCCGCGCCTCGCGAGTCGGGGTGCAGTGCGCTCGCCAGCAGTCGCTCGATATCAGTGGACTTTCATTCACCTGCTTGTGTCTAATACGAAGTGACAAGCTTTGCCGTGGGCGCCTCTCGGTGCGTATTGCTCTGTTCTTACTACGTTTTGGAAATTGACTGGGGTGAGTGAGCTTATGATTCTCCCTGCAGATACGGCTTCCAAACAGGGACCCATAGAAGCTATCCAGAAGTCAGTCCGACTGTTTGAAGAAAAGAGGTATCGAGAAATGAGGAGGAAGAACATCATTGGCCAAGTCTGCGACACCCCCAAGTCCTATGATAACGTCATGCATGTTGGCTTGAGGAAGGTGACCTTCAAGTGGCAAAGAGGAAACAAAATTGGTAAGGACGGGAGGCGCGGGACAGGTGGTCTCTGCTAGAGACAGCAGCGGCCGCCCCTTCGGGTCGCGTCTGCATGCTTAGTTGTACTCAGTTGTTTTCTCTTATAAATGTGGGAAATATACGTTTTTTTCCCCCAGAGAGTTCTGTTTTTTACTTTATTTGTAAGATGCCTTCTAAGAGCAATACTTAGTGAGATTTTAGCAAGAGATTTTAAAACTAAATTGAATAGTTTTCCTCTATAACTCCAGAAGTTTTGCCCATTGTTGCTTCCTACAATGGATTCAATACAGAATAGTCTTGTCTTCTAAAACATCACCTGAATTGTTATTTCCTAGGTAAAATGACTTCTTGTAAAGTAACTCGGGTGAGGTATGAGAGAAACGGCCTGGCGATATTTCCCATCTTCCCGTATGCTTTTATTCATCCAGTGTTGGGGCTGGAGAGGCAGACACAGTTGGCATATGGGCTTCTGTGAGCCCGAGAAAAGCTGCGGTGTCCAGAGACCTGTCCATCAGAGCAGAAAACGCTAGAAATAGCCTTGCACGTTATGAGCTGTGTCGATCATTGTCCTCAGTCGTATTCAGCCACATAGCCCTACGCTGAACGTGCCACAGAGTGTTGGTAGACTGTCTGCTCCCTGTACACCTGGGGCTGCAGCTGTGAGGCCCAGTGAGTGTGGCCGCTCCCTCGGACCACCACCCCAGCGTCCCAGATTCCTCAGTACCAGGAGGGCTTGGAAATGCGTAGCTGCATGTGGTCAGTTCTGCTGTATAGACAAGTGCAGGTGAGACCCAGGAAGAGATTGCCTAAGACTCACTTCTGAGGGGACATTCAGAAACCCAGGCATCTTGCCTTGGTGTGCGTAATCAGCAACACAGCACAGACCAGGGTCAGGTGAGATGCTAATTTGAATGCCATGGAACGGCCTCACTGTGGTGACTGAGCATGGCCTGTGTGTCTCTGTTCCCAGGGGAAGGGCAGTATGGGAAGGTCTACACCTGTATAAGTGTCGACACCGGTGAGCTGATGGCTATGAAGGAGGTGAGTGGTCTGGCCCGGATGACGCCTCTTTGGTGAAGAAACTTCTGTTGACACGCTTCTGATTAGTGCACAGAGCTGACTTCTGTGCTCCTCTGGTACGAGGTCAAGCCCCAGACCCGCTGCTTGGCACTTAGATTAGTGGGGACCAACCAGCTGAGAACCGGGGAGAGTGAGAGTCTGCCATCCAGCGAGGGAAGACCAGGCGCTCAGACACCCCACCACGGCACGGGCTGTGCTGTATGGGGAGACAGAAGGGAAGCACGGAGGCCAGTGGTGGTGTCTGTAGGGGGAGCTGAGGGGAATGTTCACACTTGTGATAAGCTTCAGAAGTGAACAGCGGTTTAATGGCAGGAGGTGGGGGAGGAACAGGGAGAAGGTGAAGAAGGCCCTGGGGAGCAGGACCTGCTGCCCTGATGAGGAGACACTGGTGCAGCAGGGAGGAGGTGCAGAGGCTGGGGCTGCGGACATGGGGTCCTGCACTCCCTCTGCAGTCCTCTGCCACGGGGCACTCACCCACGCTCCCACACCTCCTCCGGCAGCTTGTTGGCTTCCTGTGGGCGGCATCATCTCTCATCCTTATGTCTCGCCCAGCACCTAGTGCCTGTGACTGCTTACTGGGTGTTGAGTGTTTGTCACCTCAGCTTGCAGTTAGGAAAATGACCCTGTTAGCTGTGTTCTCACTGGATATTCTAATGCAGCCACTTTTATGTCACCCGAAACAACAAAGAAAATGTTAGGGAGTGAAGTTCACACACACACACGCACACGCACACGCACACACACACACATGGATGCCTGTGGGGCTGAGAGTGGGGTCGGGCCTCCAGCCCCGGCTGGACCTGCGGAGTGTCCAGGCTGCGCCCGGCCGGTGGTGATGGTGGGTCGCTTTCCTCTTGCAGATTCGGTTTCAGCCCAATGACCATAAAACCATCAAGGAAACGGCAGATGAGCTGAAAATATTTGAAGGCATCAAGCACCCCAACCTGGTTCGGTACTTTGGTGTGGAGCTTCACAGAGTAAGCCGCCTTCCGCCGCGCGGTTCGGTGCGAGGAATCAGTCAGGGCACAGCTGGGGTCCTGTTCTACATCACAGGTCTTCTCATTTCAGAGCACAGTAACTTTGCCTAATTGTCAGGAATTCTCCATGACTTACATCATTTCTGCCTTCTCTCTGAGACTAGAGGAGTTCTTCCTGAAATGTAAGTTGTAGACGGTAGTCACAGACCCGACATTATAAAGCACTGAAACCCTCCTGCAGCCAGACGACGCTTCTGGAGCGCCCACGGCTGCCTGTTCCTTTCTCCTCCCGCTCCTGGCTGAGGGCCCTGCGTGCGCCCAGGTGTGCGCCCAGGGAGCCACTGTGCAGTGAGAGAAAGCGAAGACCTCAGTTCGGCCCCCTGGTGTCAGAAATAGGCTCTTTGAGGGAAACAGGACAGGACAACTTGGAGCCTCCTTGGAGTGTGAGCTTCCAGGATAGTAATGATGTTTCATGTTTCACACGTGAATTCTTGGTGGAGAAGGATGTTTCAGTCCTTAATAATATGTTTACAGGGCCAGCCTGTTGGTCCCTGGCAGGCTCCATTTTGGAGGACCCAGGCCATGCCACGTCATCCAGAGAGGCTCTTCTCCCAAGGGCTCTTTCATCCAGACAGAGGCAGCGGGCGGACCCGCTGTGGCGCGGGGAGCACAACACACAGCGCAGAGCTCAGGACAAGTGCAGCATGCGGCTAGAGATCCTGTGGGTGCGGCGGCGACGCCCCAGACCCTGTGGTGTGCGTGCCGACCGGCTGCGCTCTCTCCCCGCAGGAGGAGATGTACATCTTCATGGAGTACTGCGACGAGGGCACGCTGGAGGAGGTGTCGCGGCTGGGCCTCCAGGAGCACGTGATCAGGCTGTACTCCAAGCAGATCACCGTGGCCATCAACGTCCTGCACGAGCACGGCATCGTCCACCGCGACGTCAAAGGTGACCGCGTCCCTGGCCCCGCGAGGCCTCTCTAGGAGGGAGATCCTGTGCCTGGCAGCTGCCCCGGAGAACCCTGCACAGAGAAACCCGCAGAGCACATGCCTCCGAGCGCGGGGTGCTTTGCTTGCCTTTCTGTTGAGCGCAACTTCGGGCCAAGTCTGATTCTGGAAAGCGAAAGCCGCGGCTGCCCTGAGCAGCCAAGCCTGCTCTGGCATCACTAGGGAAAGAGGTGCCCTGTGACTGGGGCGGCCTCTCCTTCCCTGTGTCAGGACCCTCGCGTGTGCACATGTGGCGGCCGTCTGTGCAACGCAGTGTGACCGGGAGGCCCGGGCCCTACACGGCTATGCCAGCACTTGAGCCCTGTGCTGAGGGATTAGAAGTCCTGCATGTGCCCTGGGGCTGCCCCTCTGGTGTTTGTCAGTACAGACCACACCCCTGGCTTTTGTAATCGGGCCTTTGGGGGATAACTAAAACAGGGAATGAATTTGTCTCTGATATACCCCAGTCTGTAGGATTCCCTTCTGCCACAGCCTGAGCCAGAGCCCAGTCACTCCGGAATGGACCTGGCTTCTGACCTGGCACTAGGCTAAGTCTGGGAGCTAGCTGGATCCCACCAGAGCCTGCTTTGGCTTGGGTGGGACAGCTGTCCCTGCCCCCTCCAGCGGCTCTCCCTGAGTTCCCAGCACCCGTCTTGTTGCCTCCTCCAGTCCCCGCCTTCCACCCCACTGCTTTGCTGTCTGGGCTCATGCTGGGCCTTTGCTCTTGTCAGGCTGCAGCATTGCCCATTTCCAGTTCTCCTGCCACAAATAACTGTTCTCAGGTTCTGTCCAGTGTCGCGAAATGGTGCCCTCATGCCATCAGCCACGCAGTAGAGTCCCTGAGAGCCCCCGAATAAGGTCTGTCATGTGTCCACATGGTGGGCCTTATGACTCGGCCCAGCTGAGATTGTGCACACGGACCAGCTCCAGAACCCCGACATGAGCCCCTGTGCCATCCATTGTGGGGACACTCTACCCTGGGCTGTGAGATGAACCATCCTTCTTGTGCTCATGGTGTGGCTGCATGTCCACTGCACTGCACTGTTGGCTCAGAGGGAGGGCCCATAGCACCCCTGAGAGCAGAGGCTGGCTCTGGTGGAGAGCGAGGCAGGCCGCCCTGAGTGGTGCACGGTGGCCCATGCTCCCATGGGCGTGCCCGGCAGGCGTGTGTGTGGTTCGTAGGGTCATTGAAAAATCATGGAACATTCATTGGTCAGAGTCTGATACGAACCCAGTGTAGCCCTGGGCTCTACCTGCAGAGCGGCAGTGCGGCAGCCCGAGCCACTCCCGCCGTCATGGAGGCCATAGAGGCAGCGTCTTCAGGGACCCCGCGAGCCTTTGTGCCTTATATGTCGTTTCAAGAATCTCCGTTGTTAATGTGAGACTTTCTGCAGGTATTTCAGTTTAGAATGTGTTGGATAAAGCATCTCCATTGCTTTGTGTTCGATTGTGAATAGCGCTTAGCAATCTCTGATAATAGTTGGTAAAGTTTCATAAACTTTTACTTTATTTAGGTTGGGATTCAAGTTCTTGTGGTGTAGATTACCATGTAGACTTCAGACGCCTCCCCGTGCTCCAGAGGCTGACAGCTGCTTTTTTCCTGTAGGTGCCAATATCTTCCTTACCTCCTCTGGACTGATCAAGCTGGGAGATTTTGGATGCTCAGTGAAACTTAAAAACAACGCACAGACCATGCCTGGGGAGGTGAACAGCACCCTGGGGACGGCAGGTGGGCACCCTGATCCGTCCGTGCATGGCTCGTGATGTGCTCGGTGCTTGGGCTTTGTTGTGGCTGCCCCTCCAGGCAGAGACTTGGGGAGCTTGCAGGGGGTCCTCCCTGCAGAGAACCACACTCGAGACACATGGGCTTCCTGCAAGCCCTTGTTGAATGGCATGTTTGGTTCTCCATAGAATTAAAGGAGTGACATTTTCTTGCCAGAAAAACACTATTGTTTACACTGAGTTTGTTAGAGTGATTCTGGTTCAGCACCGTTGTTAAGTGGTGATTATTTGGATTAAGTGTCATAAAATTGTACACCCTCCTTTACAGGTTAAATGTCATGTTTTCATTATCAACACTTTACCTGAAGATTTACATATATAAAAGATAATTTGGCCCCTAAAATGCCCGTTCAGGATTATTATTTTCTGTCATGTAACTCAAGAAGGGATTCCCTACTCCACGAGTTAGTTGTCTGTGTAGGCTCGTTTGCATTTTAACGTGTAATGTGACATAATGGATGTTAATTAATTGCTTGGCTCTATTAACACATGGTGCTGTTTTCGCACGCCATGCTTACTTCTGTGTCTGTGACCCCAAAGCGTACATGGCTCCGGAGGTCATTACCCGGGCGAAAGGAGAGGGCCACGGGCGGGCGGCCGATATCTGGAGTCTGGGCTGTGTTGTCATCGAGATGGTGACTGGTAAGGTAAGCAGCGCGCACACTGGAGCGGAGACGTCAGCGGGTTATTAGCAGAAATTGCGTGGACGCATTTTATGCAAAATAGACAACATGAAAATAAAAAGATTAAAACTGTGACCTGTTAAAGACACAGTGAAGTGAAGACAAGTGACAGACTAGGACCTGCATCTTTATAAACTAGATGGCTTAGTGAGCGCTGATGAGTGAGTGAAAAAAGCATAGCGCTTCCATGAAATCAAGAAGCCAGTAGCTGCAAAAAGGAAGGTGAAGTTAACAGCCTGTGTCCACACGTAAACTGGCCTGTGAGTGCTTTTGCTGTACTTGGCTCATGATTATCCAGACTTAGAAGCAACCAGGGTGCCCTTCATAGGAGCGTGGGGCCCGCTGTGCAGACGCAGGGTTACTTGCGTGCAGCAGCTTGAAGAGACGTGCTTTCGAGCCATAAAATGACACAGGAGAACCTGAAAACATACTGTCCTGTGCAGGAAGCCAAGTTGAAAAGGCCTTGTGAGCTGTGCTTCAACCATGGGATCTTCTGGAAGAGGGAGAACTAGGGAGGGAATGACATCAGCAGTTGCGAGGGCCCAGGAGAGGGGAGAGAAGAGGACCAGATAGGACACAGACTTTACAGGACGATAAAACTCTCAAATGATCAGTATCTAAAAATTTATCTTTTTATGAAGATGCTACTAATGAACGAACCTATAAATATATGTGGATGTATAAAGGCCCCGTGTGTGGGGGGAAAGAAGAGGGTGTCATCATTTATAAAACCAAAGAGTTAGAAACTTCTTAAGTGTTATTGGTAGGAAATTACATTATTATAGAAGTCGATGCTAATTATTCAGTAAGGTAACATATTAAAATAAACATCCATATAAAATAACTCGAGCTTTATGTGTTCTCTTAACGTTTTTATATAATTCCATATATTACATTTTTTATTTGCATGTGGGTGGCTTGTAGATAATGCTGGACTAATAGGAGATCCAAATGCGGTAGGCAGACTTTGCAGACCCCCTCATTTTGTAAATAAAGTTTTATTGGCGCACAGCCACACCCATTCATTTCTGCGTTGCTACTCTCACAGTACAGTGGGAGAATTGAATATGGGTGACTGTCATGGGAACCTTTAAGTAGAAGTGTGCTGGCCCCTGATGTTAATATTGAGATACCTAGAAGACGGGGCACTTGTACTTCTTTATGGTCAAGTATTAAAACCGGATTTTATTTTCTTTTCAGAGACCGTGGCATGAATATGAACACAACTTTCAGATTATGTATAAAGTGGGGATGGGGCATAAGCCACCAATCCCTGAACGATTAAGCCCAGAAGGAAAGGACTTCCTGTCTCACTGCCTGGAGAGTGAGCCCAGGATGAGGTGGACAGCCAGCCAGCTCCTCGACCACGCCTTCGTCAAGGTTTGCAGGCTGCTCTGCAGTCTCCTTATGTTTAAATGTTTGCGTTCTCTTGGCATAATACACTTCAGGGAATTTGAAACTTAAACATAAGATAGCTACAGGTATGCGTGAAGTGGGAAAGCAGTAAATACCCTGTGCGAGGGAGCTGGGTGTGTGTTTCTGTTTGAAGGGACGTGTTCACTGAGTCTCCTGCTGGGTGCGCTGTGTGGCGTGCTGGAATGCGCTGAGGGCTGTTCAAGGGAGCCTGAGGTGGTGCTGGGCGAGAGACGTGGTTTCCCTTGACAGTGAGGTCAGCCCTTGACAGTGAGGTCTGCCCGAGGACAGGGTCCGGAGGACTGAGCCTTTGTTAAGCTGTGATAGTGGGCTGGGCCGAGTCACCGAGAGGAGGAATTTCTCCAGTCAGCTCAGTCTCAGCTGTCCTTTTCCCTCGAATGGCACGTCTGACTCTTTGGGAGGGATCAGCCAGGCCAGGAATCAGGGCGGGCATAGAGCCAGCAAAACGGAAGAGACATGACAGGGCTCCTGAATGAGCGCAAGTTCCTCAAGGGACTGGGTCGGAGGATGCAGCCGCGCAGGACGTGGGACCTGCAGACATCACAGGGGAATGAGCGGGAGCCTCAGGAAGGAGCTTCGGTTTTATAGGAACGCCTAATGGGTAGATGTGTTCTAGAGAGGTCGCCGTGAAAATGAGGCTAGTCAGGGCGGGGGAAGGGCCTCGGGTGCGTTAGCAGCCCAGTTGGACGTGAAGTGGCCATGACCAGCAGCTGACTGGACGTGGAGGGGTGTCTAGGACAGCTCACACCTGGCTGGCATCGTCAGGTTACAAACTCCGTTTTCTCTCTGGTGGGTTAGGTCGGAGAGGCGCGGGGACGTCTGCTCTGGCAGGCGCTCGGCTCTGGGGCTGACAATCGAGCGAGAGCTGGGCTGGGACGCAGATTTGGGAGACAGAGTGTGGCTGGGAGGGCACGCGAGCTCCTGACCCAGCACAAGGGGTAAGGGAAGGGCAGCGCACTCCCGGGGGCGAGTTCCGGGCCCTGTGGCCGGAGGTGCCGTGTAGGTGTTAGCGGCCTGCAACTGCGTAGACACTTACTCGTTATGGCCATTCTGTATTGCCTTGAGAGTGTCTGTGAACGTGTTTTCAAAGGCTTTCTGTTGTCAGTTCGCAGAGCAGTGACAGCGCCGACGTCATTCCCTCGGAGCCCGGCCCAGCGCGGTGGTTCTGCCACCTGACACAAATAGGGTGCAGCTCTTTGTCCTCCTCACAGGTCTGCACAGATGAAGAGTGAAGCTAAGCAGCCTGGCCTGGTGGTGCGTGCTCTGGTGGAAAGCCCTCTCGATCACTACTGTCTGTAACATTTACATGGACGCTGCTGAGAAGCAGCGCAAGCCTTTAACCTTCGGAGACTGAAGACTGCACAGGTGACAAGCGTCACTTCTCCTGCTGCTCCTGTCTGTCTGACGTGCACGGGGCCCTCCTGAGCGCGGTGTCCGCGAGGTCACAAAGCTGCATGTCAAGTGCCATTACTACTGTACACGGATGTCGCTCTGTCGCCGCCGGGCCCCGCCTGGCTGGGAGCCCTGACGCCAGCGTCGTGGTGTTGACCTGCCGAGGTCCCAGAGCGCGGTTGCGCTGCCGGGTGTCCGGGGCTGCTGCTGACCTCCTGCTGTCGCGTGCACTGACTGGACCCGTGCCCCGCGTGGTTGTTGGCAGGCCGTGAGCTTGTGATGCAGAGGCTGATGAATGAAATTTAAGATAAAGGTTCTTTTTTCAATAAATGGTCTATTTTAGGAAAGCTCAGTTATATTGTCTTTTAATGGTGACCAGCTTCAGAGCCAGCCGGCTACACTGCAGCGCTGTCTTCCCACGCGCCCCTGCCCATGGGCAGCCCCCGGGCTGGAGGCCCCTGGACCCGGCGTCCTGCCGCCCCCCGGCCGCCCCTGAAGAGCAAGACGAGGGAGACAACACTAAGGCTGTAGAGCCCTTTTAAGTTATTTTATATTAACCAGCAAGTTTACGAACAGCTAAAATTTGGGGGCTCGGTTTATTCTCAAACCCATGTACAGGTGCTAGGTCCGTGTAAATACTGCTGAGGAAATTATCTTTTTCAGAATGTAAACATTTCAGCAGTTCGTTTTCTAAAATAGTCCAAATTACATGTCATTGATGGTGTTCTTTTATTTCCTTTTGCTATTAAATTTTTTTTAAAGATTGACCTTCAAGCTTCCTGAAATCTTTTTAGAAGCTCCTGACTCACCCCTTGCACGCAGCACCTGGCTCTGGGCAGGTAACTTCTCGAGCGGGTTCTGTGTCTCCTTCCCCCGCAGACTATTGACCCCGGCCAGGAAGGGCGTCTGGAGAGCGCTGGCATCACAGAGTGTGTGCGCGGAGCGTCCTTCTGGTTTTGTTTCTCTAAGAGCTTTTTGAGGTGTACTGTACAGAGCGTTTAACACGTACCACTCCAGTGATTTCTAGTATAGTTGCGTGATGGTAACAGCCGTCAGCCAGACATCCAGGACTTTTCCATCACCCCAGAGACACACGCACATCCTTGCAGTCACTCCCCACTTGCACCCCAGCCTGAGGCAGCGCCGCCCCTTCCTGCCCATCGACGCTCATGCGTGGTCTTCTGGCCCAGCGCCTTGCTCCCATGCTGGCCTGAGGTCCGCCCGCTCTGTGTGTTGCACACGGTCAGCGCTTCCTTCTTCCCCTGCGGAGTGTGACCGTCATGTGGATCTGCCACACACGCGCTCTGTTCATTCACTGGTGTCACCCTTTGCTTACTGTGACGCTGCTCTGAGCGTCCACGGCGGGCTCCTGTGTGAACACGGCTTCATTCCTCTTGGGCGGGGGCTTCCGGGTCTGATGATAAATCCACGTTCGGGATGTTACGAAGCTGCCGGCCGTTGGCAGAGTGACACTGTCTTACACTCGCGCCAGCAACACACGGGGTCCCGGGGTCTCCGGACCCACAAGGACACGTGATATTTAGTTTTTCATGACAGTGTCTGGAGTGTCCTGCCACCGCCCTCTTGTTCCCTAACGGCAGTGAGTGTCCTTGCCTGTGCTTGTTAATCCTCGGGGGCATGTCCATCAGATCTTGTGCCCCTTTTTAATCGGGGTATTTGTCCTCATCTTAGCGCGGGAGGCTTTTATACATTCTGGATACACATCCTTTACTGGATTATGATTTGTTTGTCTCTTGGTCTGTGGCTTGTCTTGACCTCACCATCGGTGTCCTTGGAAGGACAGAGTTGTTAATCTCGCGGGCTGGTGTGTCATCTCCTTCTTTGGTGCATGTACTTTTGCTCTCATTTGTAAAAAGTCACTATCTGGTCCAGGCCGGGAGATTGACCCCCGTGTTGTCTCCTAAGAGTTTTACAGTTTTAGTTCTCACATTGAGATCTGTCTGCTAATTTTAGTTGATTTTTGTGTCTGATGTCAGTTAAGTGTCTGAATTTACCCCTTGGCCTGGGGATCACTACTTGACCGGCATCGCTTGCTGAACACAGGCCTCCAGGCGCTGTCTGGCCACCCTTGTTGAAATCAGGGGGTCATACAGCTGGGGGATTATTTCTGGTCTCTCAGCCCTGCGTCCCCTGGGCAGCACCGTGCTGTGTGGTAACTAGCTCTGGAGGGACTTTTGAAATTAAGAAGTTGAGACTTCCAACCTCGTCTCTTTTAAAGATTGTTTTGGCCATTCTTACTCATTTGTGTTGCTCTCTGAATTTTAGGACTAGCTTGTCAATTTCTGTGTACACACACATACACACACACGTGCGCACACACACATGCACACACCCTAGCTGGGATTGAGTCTGGAGGAGCATGTTAATTATTAAGTAATTTGCAGTACATGTTAATTATTAAGTACTTTACAGTGCACAGTTCTTGAACTTAAGTTTCTTTCAGAGTATTTTATTTTTCACACTATTGTGAATGGAAATGACTTTCATTTTTACACTGCTCATTGCTGAGATAGATAGACAGATAGATAGATAGATAGATAGATAGATAGATAGATAGATAGATAGATAGATAGATAGATTTATGTATCGGTACATTGAGGTTGTAAGTATAGTTTCATGTACAGCTGATTTTTGTGTGTTTTGTTTTAAGAATCCCATAGACTTCCACGTGTAAGATCAGTGGTCGTGAATCAGCGCCATGTCCCTGCTCTGTCAGCTGGATGCCTTTTATCCCTTCTTGCCAGTAGCTGACCGGGCCCTCCTTCCAGCTCGGGCTGAGGAGCAGTGGTGAGAGTGGACCCGTTGACGGCCACACTTGCCCTCGGGGGAGTCATTCACTCTTCCCCCACTGAGTGTGGTGCTGGGGGTTTGTCAGAAATGCCCATTATCTGACTTAGATGTTTCCTTTTTATTCTTGGTTTGTTGAGAGTTTTCATCCTGATAGGATGTTTGACATTATCAGATGTACTTTCTGTTTCTGAAGAGATGCTCCTAAGGATCTGCCCTTCAGCGTGCTAACATGGTACCTTGCGTTGACGTGGGGGTGTTGGATCAGCCTTACCCTCCTGGGATGGGCCCTGGCTGGCCACTGTCACGACCCTCTCTGCGTCGCCGTGTCCAGCGTGATGTTTTCTGAGGCGTGTGCTCGTGCCACCAGAGGGCACCCCACGGAGGGTCACCTTCCTGCCGTGTCTGTCGGTGTTGGCATGGGGTGGTGCTGGCCTCACACACAGCTGGGAGCTTTCCTTGGAAAGAATTGGTGCTGTTTTTCTAGCTTCTTTAAATGTTTGGTAGATTTCACTAGTGAAACCAATTTGATGCCGGGGTGTCTCTCTGCAGTAGGCTTTTTTTTTTTTTTTTTTTAATAATTTTTTTTTAAGATTTATTTATTTACACAAGCACTGGGCACAGTCAGAAGCGCAGGAGGGTGAGAGGATTCACCAGAGCCAGAGCGGGGAGCAGAGCAGGCAGAAGGACCGAAGTGCACTGCTGAGGGGAGCAGCGGGCGGCAGGAGAGGTCTGCGCGCCATGTGGGACCCTCCTCCGGTGGCCGGGGAGCAGCCGGGGATCGAACTGGCTTCGGCAGAGGCCGCGGGCAGCTTCGCAACCCAGCGCTCAACCGCTGCGCCACCGGGGAGGCCCTGCAGTAGGCTTTTAATTACTGATCCGTCTCTCGTCTCTTCATATTTTCTAGTCTTAGTTTTAGTAATTTATGTCTTTCTAGGAATTCGCCCATTTTAGCTAAATCGTCTAACTTATTGAGGCAGTTCCTCACAGTATTCCCTTTCAGTACTTCTCATTTCTATAACATCAATAAATATTGAGGTCCAGACTTTTATTTCTGATTTTGGAATGTGTGTTTTCTCTTTTTCTTGGCTGAAAGGTGATCCGTTTTGGTGATCTTTCAAAGAATCAATTTCTGGTTTCATAATTGTGTCTGTTGTTTTTCTAGTTTCCATTTCACTGTCTCCCCCGCCCCAAACCCCACCCCGTCTTTATTATTTTTTCCTTTTGCAAGCTTTGGGTTTAATTTGCTCACTGTATTTTTCAGTATAAGATTAAAAATGGTAAAGATAAAATTGGCATTAAAAATAATCTGCCAGCCCCTTCCCCTTTTTCTCTCTAGTTGACAGAGCAGAGATCTTGGACGCATGCTCGGGGAGTCTCAAGGGGTGGTTTTCCTTCTTAAACAGCGGCCTCAGCCTCGACCCTCCAGTGTGGGGCCCGGGACCTTCTCTCCAGCCGCGGAGATCGCCGGCCTTGGCCTCGGGGTCTTGGCCAGGCTTTCCACCCTCCTGGAGCTTGAGGGCAGGCGCGGGAGGCAGCGGAGGGGCGTGGCAGTGCCAGAGAAACTTTGCTTACACAACAAGCAACAGGGCCTTGGTTCGCCAACTTCCGCTCTCGCAAAAATAACAGTATTTTCTGAGGCTACCAGCGCTGGACAGAGGTAGCCATGGCCGAGGCCACTTCTTGCATGTGAGCTGGTGCCAGGGCGGGCCGTGGCCTCTGCGGGCAGCGGTTCCTCATGGCAGCGGTACCTGCCCGTGTGCTGCTCGGCGCCAGCTAGCGGAAGCCCGGACACACCGTCCGGCCCGTGGAGTGTTCACAGTCTCAGGGCCTGTGGGTGCAGGATGCCCATGTGGCCGGGAGCCTGCGGCCGCCTCCAGCACCTGCCCTTCCCTGTGGAAGTGGAGCGTCGCATGTTTGAGTGGGCGAATCTGTCACTGAGACCTGTTGAAGCAGGCAGTGCCTCCCTGCGAGTCAGAGGTCTCAGCACTGCCTGGCGGTCAGGCGTGCTGTGAGGGACACCTGGGTGGGGTGGCACGCAGCGTCACGTCCCCTTCCCTGGCCCCTGGCCCTCTTGGATCTCAGCCTCGCCCTGAAGTCATGTCAAAGGCTGAACTTCTCTTCGGGGCAGCTCTGCAAGTCATGTGCTCCAGCCGCCTGTTTCTGCCTCTTCTGAGCCACCTGCTGTAATTCCAGAAGCGCAGTCGCTGCTTTTCCTGCAGCGCTGGGCAGCTCTCGGCACCACCCCGCCTCAGGGTGACTCACTGCAGACACAGGAGCACCAGTGGCTCGCCAGCCTCCTCCCGCCAGATGACAGGGCGGCCTGCCGGTCTTTGAGGTCTCCCTCCAGGGGTCCTCTCCTTCAGAACATTGTCATTGCTCTGAGATACTTGAGCAAGAGTCACTGTCCTCACAGGGCTAATTCGTGCTCCATGGAACTCTGGAGACTGGAAGAGCGCGGGTCCCCTTCTCCACGCAAGCCCTCGGATGCAGGCGCCTCCAGGCACCTCCCGCAGCCGCTCGTTTTCCAAGTCCCTGACCTCACTGGGCCTCTCACCCTCTTGGATGTGGGACCTAGTGTTGTTTTTGATGTTCTGACAGCAGCAGGGACTCCATTCCACGTGGTGGGCCTACCCCGTGCCCGCGTGACAGGACCACAGTGGGCCTGCTCACCTGGTGCGTGAGGCCTACCCAGGCGCGCTGACCTGAACAGGGAGCTCCACGTGGGGTGCCCTCCCTGCTCCCCGCCCCTCCCTGTAGGTTGGGAGGGCAGCCAGCCTAGGAGGGAAGCTAAGGGGGAGTCTGCAGAGAGCATCGTTAGCCTGGGGCCCAGTGCTCATTAGGCAGGAGGGAGAGTGCCTGGCCACCCCGGATGAGCGCGCACGGAGCTGGGCTTGAGCTGGCAGCTGAGGGACGCAGCCCCTGTGAGCGAGGGCGGGGCCATCGCGGGGACCCAGAGATCCGCTTTTTCCCATGCAACACTTTCTGTTCACTGTCTCGTGGTGTCAGCCAACACTGCCGGTTTCGTCTTTGTTCAACCAGCCCGTGAAAGCTGGAGGTTATGCCACAGCCTGGCGGGAGCAGCAGCCAGTCATGCCATCTGCTTGCGGACGGAGTTTTCACTGTGTTGGAATCTGGAAACACTTAAAACCCCAGCGGCTGAGGGAGAGTGAGGTGGGCCTCAGACCCTGACCGTTCATTTGTGGTCAATGGGCTCGGGGGACAGCCCCCACTCCCCGCTTCCTGGCCGGGGGAGATGAAACCCCCGACTTCCCTGTGGGCCATTCCCCGCCCTGGGGACTGGCCCTCCCAGGCGTGCTTGCCTTTCCCTCAGCATGTTCTGAAGGAAAGCTTTAAAAAATGCTTTTCCTTTTCCTTTTCATTTTCAAAGACATTTCTAGGAAATCAGCCTAGTGCACCGCAGCCATGTCTGACCCCCTCAAGGCCACCGTCCACAGCGTGGGTGGGTCCAGAGGAGGGTGCCTTTGAGCAGCTGGCCTGGTGCCCCCAAGCTATTCCTTGGGCCTGTGGAGAGCAGTCCTGGTTCTGACGCCCCCAGGGCGCTTTGCTTCGTGCTGTGGTGCTGTGTCCAGCTGTTGCTGCGGAGCCTGGGCGCGGCCCGGATGTCCGAGCTGGACTGGCTCAGGCCTGCCTCTCCTCTGCTGCCCCGGCTGGCAGGGCTGACAAGGTAGCCTGGGGTGGACATGTTCCAAGTCCATGATCTGTTGGGGGCATGGCTGTGCCAAAGCACCATGGGACCCTGACTCCAGAATCATAGACGCTCTGGGGTCAGCAAGTTCTCTGCTGAAGCACCTGGGTGCCTGCCAGACTGGTGAGTCTCCCCAGGGGATGGGAAACCGGGTTCCTACAGCCAGAACCTGGGCTGCCAGGCTGACAGGTGTGCGGGCCTGTGCTGGCACCGGTTCCCTTGCTTCCTAAGGCTTTTTTCCCTTCAGAAGAAAATTATACCAAAGTCAAGCCATTTTAATACGTGCACAATAAGAACTCATGTTCAGACTGCTTGCTGAAGGGCCCTTAATCCTTATCTTGGGGTATTTTTCTCTTCTTAAAATTTTATTTACGCATGCATGCAAGAAATGGGGTGTAGACCAGAGGTGCGGGGGTGAGAGGATTCACCAGAGACAGAGTGGGGAGCAGAACAGGTGGATCTACTGAAATCCACTGCTGAGGGGAGCAGCGGGGAGACAGGAGAGGTCTGCTGCGCCCTGTGGGTCAACTCTGGCTGCCGATAGCTTCATGGTGCTGAAACTTAACCCCTTGCACCACCAGGGAGGCCCCTTGTCTTAGGTATTAAATTTGTCTTAGGTATTAAATTTGTCCTGAGGAGCCGGCACTCGGGAAACCTGAACGAAGGCATTTTCTTGTAGGTGGCTGGTACCAGGCATGTCCGTTGCCTTCTTGGATGCCCCGGTCCGGGGCTGTCTGCATGCCCATGGGAAGCTGTGAGGATACTCCGTGAGGCCATTTTTAGAAAGAACCCCGGGTGGTCCTTCCTCCTGCTAGACCTCAGGTGCGGGCCAGCCCGGTCCCAGAGCCAACTCAGAAAATGACAACAGGTTCCCAGCAGGTACGTTCCGCGTGGGGCAGGGCAGGGGGCGGGGGTGTGTGAATGTTATTGGACTTAAATTACCACATTGGCGAAGGCCAGGCCAGCTGTGAGGGAAGGACACATTTTGGGGCACTTCAGGGTCATTTCTGAGCCCTTTGAGAAGCAGCAACACGGAGGCCACTTTCTGGCCGTCTGTCCCTGGTTTGGCCTTTGGGGCCCTTAAAGTTTGTTCACATGTTCTGCCTCGCTGTACCCTTGAAACAGCCCAGGGTTGGGAGGTGGGTGTCAGCCCCATTTCACAGATGAGGAAAGTGGAAAGCAGCTCCGAGTTCGTCTCCAACATGGACTGACAGGCAGGCCTGCGGCACAGCCAGGCGCCCCAGCCCCCAGAAGCCCCTCAACTCCCCCTGGAACTTGCTTCATGCGGGGCGGGAGGGCTGTGTGTGAGGCCTCACCAGACCCCCTTCCCGCCAGGCCATCAGAACCCGCTCCCGGCCATGCCCAGCACTAGGGTCAGGGACCCTGACGCCCTCAGGGCTTGGCTCTCAGAGGGTCCAGCCCAGGCTGGTCTGGTTCAGCGGATCCCGTGTTAATGACTGCGGGTGCTGAGTGGAACGGGCTCTGCTGGCCTCCCTGGTGTGCCCGGGCCGTGAGCTGCCCGCGGGGGTGCTCTCTGAACTCCTGCTCCCAGACACCCACCCAGCTGAGCTCCCGGCACCCTTGGTTCTCCTACGGAGATACTGGGGCTCCTCTGTTCCTCTCTGCCCGTGGCCTCCGCTGGCAGGCGGCAGCTGGCAGAAGCCCTGCATGTGGGCTCCAAAGACCCCCGTGACCCCGGAGCAGGCCTCTTCCCTGGGGAGTCGCCAGGCCCGGGGTTTCCCACCCACAGCCTGGTGCTGCTCAGAGGAACCTTGGCTGTTTATGAAGTGAGCTCATGTTTGTGGGGGACCCAGCGTCTCGCTGGAGAGGAACAGTGGGCACACAGCCTCTCCTGGGGGCTCCGCAGTGCCCAGCCTTCATTTTCACATCCAGTTCCAGGATCAGTTGCTACAGGGAGCATCTTCCGGACTTAGGCTTCGAGGCTCCTGGCCGGGAGGCCGGGAACCAGACTGGGAGGGGGCCCTGCACGGTCGCTGCCCCAGCGCCGCCATCTTCTCATAAACCAGTGTGCCCCTGGTGATGTCTGCCGCCCAGGAGTGAAGGTGTGGGCCCCCCCAGCCGCTGGCCCCAGCCCCTGTGCCTGCGGCCCGAAGGCTGGGTCTGGAGTGCGAGGTAGGAGGGTGAGGGTGGGGCCGGTGCCGACGCCACAGAGGAGCCACACGCTTGAGGTTTTCAGAGGCATAATTTAGTCTTACCTACAGCCTTTTACTCTGTCTCTGGCATCAGTCCCAGAAAACTCAGCACCAAAGGAAGAAGGGGCACGCAGTCCCCATCCCTGCCCTCCCCCTGCAGCCTCAGATACCCTCTGACCACCAAAGCAGCTCACCCGGCCATCCTCATCACGTGATGTGTGTCCTCGCTCGCGCACGCGCACGCGCACACACTCACACGGAAGGAAAGAACAGAAATCCACTAGAGCGTATGGGGACAAAGAGGCCTCAGAGCGTCTTCCTCCCCCTGGGCTGAGGCCAGACTCCTTGCCCCCCAGCAGGGGCTCATACAGCCTTGGCCGCCGGGTCCCCCTCAGGGTGACCGCAGCGTGCACCGGCCTCAAGGTCCCCTTCGGGCGGAGCGGCGTCCCGAGTCAGTCGCTGTGCGTCTGCTTGCTGTCGATGTTGCCGTAGGCCGAGCCCTTGTCGATTTCCGTCACCCCGATCATCCATCGGACACCCATGGATGCTGCGGGAACAGGAGGCGGGGAGTCAGGAGGCGCCCCGGGACTCCCAGGACATGCCCGCAGGAATCACGGGCGGTGGCTGCCCGCAGGCCCAGCAGCAGCTTGAGCTTGGGCGCGGGGGTCTCGGCCAACCGAGTGACGTGGAGACCGGCGGGCAGTCCGGGTCCGCTGGCGGGCGCGACCCTTTGTCGCTGGAGGTGGAGGAGTTTGCTCAGGCGGGGACCACCCTGTTACAAGCTGCCCGCAGCTGTGCCCGGGGCACACACAGCCCCTCTGCCTCCTGTGCCCCTCCCCGGGCAGAGAGGGGTCTTCGTGAAGGGAGGGACTTGGGGGCACTGCAGGGACGCCTAAGAAAGAGCATGGCGGAAGCCTGCAGGGCGCCATAGCCCAGCGTCTCCTCCGTGCCCCGCAGGTCCCTCTTCCCCAGCAGACAGTGGTGGGGCCCGGAGGAGAGCCCAGGGCCTGCGGGAGAGCCAGTGGGAGGCTGGGCTAGAGCTCAGGTCGCTGCTTCTGCTCCTCCAGGCAGAGGGCGGCCCCGGGAGCTCGCAGCAGGGACCACGGCTCTCCCGTCGCTTCTCACGTCAAGACCACGTCAGTGGCACGGCAGCTGGCACGACCCAGATCGGCAGTGGTGAGTAAGCCCGTCCGGGAGAAGCACCCCTTCCCCAAAGGGCCTGGCCCTGCTCTGAGTAACCTAGAGCTAGTGCCAGTGGCTGGGGGTCCCTAGGAGATGTTCTCCCCCTGACTGGGGGCAGGAATGACGAGAGCAGAGCTGTCTGCAGGGGCAGGGATGCAGCAGCTCCAGCCCTGCCAGGCCCGGACCCCCTGGACACGAGGCCCCTCCCAATCTGGGACCCCAGGTGTCCTGGAGCCCCTCCCAGTGTCGCCCTCACTGCCGGCTCCGCCCCTTTATGCTCCTCGCCGGCCTGGGGCCTCTGCCTGAGCCTCCTGCTCTGGACGTACCCACAAATAAGACGAGGACGAAGCTGGCCAGCGTCAGGGAGGACCCGCTGCTGATCATGTTGACGACGAACCGGAAGAAGGGGTAGAGCAGCAGGGAGGCCCAGAACAGCCAGTTGACCAGGGTCCAGGGCCGCCGGGGGGGCACAATGGGCGTCTCGGGGAAGGTGCCAGTCCTGTAGTATTCCTCCTGGAAGGCATCCTGCCGACAGAGAGGGACCTGAGCCCCCAGCCCCGACTGCGGGCTCATGCGGTGCCCCTCCAAGGGCGGCTCCGCAGAGCTGGGTCTCCGCCCTTCCAGAGGGGGCCGTGCAGGCTCTTGGGGCTCCTCACAGCACTCTGGTCAGCCCGCGAAGGCCCAGGAGAGGCAGGGCCTGCAGCCCCATCACGCAGTGCGGGTGGGAGCTCGGCTTTGGTGCCAGGCCACCCCTTCCCCTCCCTGGGTCTGCTCCTCCGTGCTCCCCCGACTCGGCAGCTGACCAGCCTCACTAATTGGGCAGGAATGTCCTCCAAGTCAGGTAGTGGACGCATGCAAAGAGGCCAGGCCTGGGCATGCCCATGGCGGGGTGCCTGCCATGGCACAGTAGAAGCGGGAGCCTCCAGGGCAGCCGGGACAGCCAGCAGCTGGCCTTCCTGCACCCGACACCCCAGTGTGGTTGGTCTCAACAAAGGGCCCCAAGGGCCCCAGCCTGGCTCTGCGGCAGCCCCATGACAAAGGGGGGCGGCAGCCTGGGACTTGCTCTCTGGCCTCCTCAATTCCTCTGGCGCAAGTGGCCACCGAAAGTGGAGGAGAGCGAGCCGGGGAGGCCCAGCTGCTGACGACTTGCTGGAGCCGTGGCCCCTCTGATGCCCACCCGGAACCCAGTAACAGGACGTCAGCGGCTGGCCCCGTCTGCAGCTCCATGCATGTGTGCGTGTGTGTTACAGCAGGCGTGCTGTCAGGCCCGAAGCAGGCTGGGGCCGTGCACAGGGAAGAACTGTCCCCCCACTGCGCCCCCACCCAAGCTGGCTCAGTTCACAAGAGTGAGGGACACGGACCCAAGACCCAGCTGAGGGGCTGCTGGGCTGGGGGCAGGAGTGGGGGCAGGCCAAGGTTAAGCCAAGCCCCCTCAGTGAGAAGCTTGCCCACCAGCGCCAGGGCAGCCCAGGCCAAACCTCGGGGCAGGGTGTGGACGCAGTTCCTGGAAACCCCCTCTCTCCGAGATCCACAGACCCTCAGCCACGCCCCTTCCTTCTCACGCCCTACCCGCCCCCGCTCCCTGGAAGGCCCTGACTGGGGAGACAGCCTTTGACAGGAGGTCCCACGTCCACGGGCTTGCCGGCTCCTCATTAACCTGACTTCCTTCCACCACCTCATCTCGAGTCTTGGCTGATGAGCAGCGAGTAGCCAGACCCCAAACTCCTGTGAGCTTGGGACGGCTGAGAGCCAGCAGGTGAGAGCTCACGCATGTTAAAAGACAAGCCAGGCTCTTCAGGGGGGCAGCCCTGCTGTGTGCCGAGTGTCCCCCCGTCCCGCAGGCCCCACACTGACCTTCTGCTGGTACAGCTTGTGCAGCCAGGCTGAGCACTGCTCCTCGTCTTCTGGAACTTCTTCTAGAGGAATCCGCCTGCAAAGCAGAGCACGGTCAGCCGGGTCAGGCCCGCATCCTAGTGCCGCCACCTTCGGCATCTACACAGACGCTCGATGGTGTGGGAGAGAAGAGGGTCACCAGGTGGACAGAAAGCCGGGCCACAACCAACACGCAGGCCTGGCCCAGGAAGGTGACCTCCCACCTCCGGGAAGCCTCCAGTGCTGCCTCTCCCAGGGGGTCCCCTGGAGACAGCCCGCTCACAGATCCAGATGGAGGTGACCCCTGGTCCTCTGCTCAGCCAGATGACGATGCCACACAATGGCCAGGCACCTCCATATGGCCAGGCCTTAGGCCATAAGTGTGAGGCAGACTTTCAGCAATGCTTTGCCAAGTCACAGATATTTCCCAGGACAGGAGGAACCAGGGGACCCCAGGGCCCTGTGCTCAGACTTTGCCCCCCAGTGGCAGATCAGGGCCCAGGGCGGCCCGGGGGCCTCACCCTGTCCATTCCGCATTTGTCCCAGGGTGGCGCCAGCTCACTCAGACCTGCTTGCCTAAGTTTCTGCCTCCCCCGAAACTGCCTCCCAGCCTCTTGCTTCCCCACTCCAGCCCAGGTCTCAGTACCAGGGTGCATTTCAGAGCCTCCCCGTCACACTGCAGCCTGTTGGGAGAGTACCCGAGTGACCGGGGCTTGGGTCTGACAGGCAGGTTATTCCCCTAACTGAAAGTTAACCTGTAAGGGCCTCGTGATGTCACGAATACGCCTTTCCACGCGACTAGTTTCAAAGCCAGATCTACCAGTGAGTTTGCAGAAGAGGGTGGAAAAGCCCGCCTGTGCGTCCTGGGACAGCGGGCATGAGCGATGGGCTCATTTTAATAACTTCCTTGAGGGCCTCCCCGGTGGTGCAGCGGTTGAGTGCTGGGCTGTGAAGCTGCCCACAGCCTCTGCAGCACCGGCTCTATCCCCGGCCACTGGCGAGGGTCCAACATGGCGCACAAACCTCTCCTGCTGTGCCCGCTACTCCCCTCAGCAGTGTACTTCATCAGTCTGCCTGTTCTGTTCCCCGCTCTGGCTCTGGTGAATCCTCTCACCCTCCCGCGCTTCTGACTGTACCCAGTGCTTGTATAAATAAATAAATATTTTTAAAAAAAAAAGCAACTCTACAAAATAATGTTTAAAAAAATAAATAAATAACTTCCTTGACATTCTTGCCCCTGACGTTCTCCTCTGAGGCCACGAGCATCACTGTACTGGGAGCGACGTGGGCCCCCTGCCGCCGCTTACACCCCGTCCCCCCATGCACGGGGCTGGCGGGGAGTGGCCTGGGCTGCCCAGAAACCGCAGGCCCAGCTCCACCAAAGGAGCTGCTGGCCAGTGGAACTCGGGGCACAGACCTCCCTCCTGGAGGAGGCTCCTTCAGGGCGGTGGGCGGGTTCCCCATCAGCCTCACAACTAACAAGGCAGCCGTCCACCGCGGCGTGAGAAAAGGCAGCAGCAACAGTGACGCTTTGTCCCCATTTTTATGCGGGAGCCAGGGTCACTTCTAGGTGGGGACTCTGTTGCTCAGGCCACGCTCCCACCCCCCCACCCCCCAGGAGCCTGGGCTCTCCAGGGGACCGTCAGCCCGAGTTCTCTTGTGCTGTGTGGCTTAGTTAGCATCTGTACGCTCTCTACAAAAACAATGAGAGCATCACAGAACGCCTGGCTAGTGTCCCCTGGTCGGCCTCCCATTGGTTGGGTCCCAGATGGCGACCCGCCCATGGAAGCCGCCCCCTCCCGTCTCCCCTGTCCCGGGGTGCGGTGCCTGTGTCCACCCGCTGCACCTCCCAGCTGCTTCCCGCCAGTCTGGAGGGAAGATCCAGGGAGTTCCAGGCAGGCTGCTGTGTGTCTCGTGCCTTGTGAAGTGTTGCAGTAGAGCCCTAAGAGCCTGGAATCTTAACTCAGAGGTGAGGCTGCTAAAATGTTCTCTACTCGCCCTGCACCTGCTGCGAATTACGCAGGCCCGTCTCTGGTGCACGGCCGGGCGCAGACATCCTCAAGAAGGGATCAGTCAAATGATCTCTTCAAGTTCAGTCTCAAAATGGCTATAAAAGATGGCCCCACTGCGCACGCGGAGCTCCGGAGCGCCGAGGGAGCAGAGCTCGGGGGGCAGGCGGTGGCCCTGTCCCTGCGGCCGCGGCCTTTCTCGGGTGCGGATTATAAATGTGGGCTGTAAATGCAGTAAACAGGCCCCATTCAACGGAGACCGCGGGCAGGAGAACGTCAGGTTTCCCGGGAAGGGGTGACTCGTGGGGGCTGTGTGGGGCGGCACCCCCTTTTCTGGAAAGGCGCTGAGCCCACTCACCTGACGTACAGGTCTGCGTGGTATTTCTTTCCGTTGAGGACGCCCAGGAGAGTTGGGTTTTCATTGTTTCTGAAATTGAGTGTACAGTCATATACAGCTGAAACTATAAAAAATAAAACAAATACAAAGCAGTAGATGGCGTGTGAACCCAGCTGTGTTTTGTAGATACAAACATTGGAAAACAATCATCGCATCCTAACGGGCTGGCTGGGAGGCCGGGCTGCGGGTTGGCCTGCTCGCTCTCCCCGCGTCTGCACGTGCCCCCTCCGCACGCTGCCCCTCGCGGCCAGGCGGGGACGCTCTGCTTGGGTCACGGAAAAGCGTCCTGTCCGAGGTCAGCTCGGTGTAAAGCCACACCCAGGGCCGCGTCTGCGACCAACCCCGCTGGTCACACCAGTGCCAGCCGTGGGGTCAGGCGGCGCAGAGATGCGTCTCCCCGAGGGGGGCGTGAGGAAATGAGGAAATAATTTCCTCCCTAGGAGATAAGCCAGCGGAGCGGTGCTGCCCGGAAGCTTCCCAGGGGACAGCTGGAATTCTGTTACGCAGCCTCCTTCAGGACGGCACGCGGCTTGGGACACAGACGCGAGCTGGGACTTCGGTGGTTCGCCACTGAAAACTACGGCCGTGCTCACGGCTGCAGCCCGGGCGCGGCCCACACTGGGCCCACTGCCGGTCGGGATTTCATTTAATTAATAAAGCGGCGGGCGCCAGGCAGCAGGGTTTGAGAAAGTCCACGGGTCTGGCAGGACGAGGAGGAACCAAGATTCCAGCATCAGCAAGAACATCAGGTCCATTTTCTTGTACCTGCTGCCTGACTGCCAGGTGAGGCCTGCAGGGGGCGCTCCTGCCCTCTGGCATGTCCCAGCCAGGGGAGCCGGCCCCACGCCCAGCCTGGCAGGGGGCAGCCCCCTCTTCTGTCACCCAGACCTCGCTCCTGTCCTGGGACTGTCCTCCAGACGTCGCCCCCTCACCCCTAGGACAAGCGGCCTGATAAGGCAGGTAGAAAAGAACCCGGGCTTTCTGCGTAAGAGTAGTTCGCGCTGACAGTGTGAGGCTGACAGCCGAGTCGTCCTGTAAAGTTTGCTTGACATTTACTTGTAAATAAAATTATTCTTATTCTTAAGAGAAATAGCTTCTGTGCATTTGTAACGCATAAAGTTCTATCTAGACGTCCCCCAGGCCACGTGGGACACAGCTGTCGCCAGAGTCCAGGAGGGACCCTGAACTCTGACACCGGCTCCTCCCGGCAGCTGGGGCAGGTGAGGTGAGGCGCCTTCATTCACCTGGTCAGGACAGGGGTTCCCCAAGCAGCGCTCCCACACTGGGGACTCGCACACTTCCTCCCTTCCCAGGGAGAAGCCCAGGGGGGTCCTGGAGTGACAGAACAGGCCTGAATCCACCTGCCGTGCGTGGACCGAGGTGAGGCACCAGGAGGAGGGGCCCCTCACCGCCTGCCGGCCCCGACCCACTGTCACTTGGATGTTCCTGCGCTGACCCCCACCCCGACTTCCTCATCTGCGCAGTGACATGAAAGGGGAAGTCCTCGCCTCCGCTGGGCGGCTGGGGTCGGGCCGCCTCGCCCGCTGCGGCCTGTGGGCAGAGCCGTCTCGGGGTCAGACCCAGGCGGGAGAAACCAGAACCAGGAACCGGGCCCCCGGGGGGGTGGGGGCGAGCAGGGTCAGCGGGTGGCTTCCGACAAGAGCGGGAGCCAGGGCTGAGCTGCGTCCCCCACTTTCTCCTTTACTCTCCTTGCAAGCCGGCGAGGTTTCGTAGAACACACCGAGGGTCAGACGGGGCAGGGAACAGGCCCCGGGCCACACAGCCACGGGCAGGGGGTGCGGGACTCCTGGTGGCTGCTCCTGCTCTGCCAGGCCGGCCAGAATGGAAACGGCTGTGTCTGGGAAGCCAGGGGAGGGACGAGCAGCAGGTGGGCATCTGGGCCCTGGTGCTGGGGGCAGCGAGGGCCTCGGCCACAGGCAGGTTCCAGTGCTATGGCTGAGTCCACAGCAAAACAAGCTGTGGACACCCTCTGCCCCTCCGTGGCCGGCTTCCTTGGAGGCGGCGCGGCGTGGACATGGACAGGGGGCCAGGACCTGCCCTGCAAGTCACTGGGCCTCCCGAACCTCCCGGGGAGTGAGGCTGGCGCTGCACCCCGAGCACTAGAGGACAAGTCTGCCGGCCCAAGGAGCAGCCCCACAGGGGGCCGGGAGGAGCAGGAAGAGGCAGGCGGGAGGAGCCAGCGTCCACCAGGCAGTGGGAACAAGCAGGGTCAGGACCTGGGGGGCGGGCCGGGGGGTGGGCAGGAGTGGGCAGCTCTAGGCCACGATGCCTCATGCGCCCGCATCCCTGAAGTGGCCACGGAGGAGTCTGGGGGCCCTTTGCCCCACTAGGTGGAGGGGAGAACTGAGGAAAAGGCCAAAGAAAGACGGATGGTGGCGCTCACACATCTCCAGGAGGCCCGGCCACTCCCGGCTCTCAGCCTGACCCGGAGGCCGGGGGGGCCTTCAGGCTCAGTGACGTCAAGGTCACGCTGCTGGCGCCCACAGATGGGCAAGAGATACTAAAGCAAAGCACCCCAGCGGAGATCAGGGCCCAGCAGGCGGGCGGGCGGGCGTGGGCCCAACTGCAGGTGAGGACCCCCAAGTCCCAGCCCCTTCCCCAGCACCATGCAGTGCTGCTGCTGGGCAGTAGAGGGCGCTGATCCCTTAGTGCGCGTGTCATGTATGTGGTATGCATGTATGGGGTGTGTGCATGTGCGAGGTTGTGTGTGTGCATTTGTGTGTGGCGTGTGTGGTGTGCAAGGTGTGTGTGATGTGTATGTGTGAGTTGTGTGTTTGTGTGTGTCTGAGGGATGTACCTGCGAGGGATGGACGTGTGTGAGGTTTGTATATGTGTATGCGTGTGTGTGTGGTGTGCGTATGTGAGGGGGTGTGTGCGCGTGTGTGTGATGTGTGCACGGTCGCTGACGCCCTTCATTGGATAACAGTCTCGCCTAGAGAAGCAGAACTAAGCAGAATCAAATTCTAGACATTCCTTGTCGTCCTGCTCACCCCGCCCTGTGTGAGCTGCTCTCCTCGAGAGCCGCCTGCTCCATGTCTACACCCGCTGAGCCCCTTCGGGTCGGTAACACCAGGGCGAGCACCTGCCGGGCGGTGAGCCCCAAAGCAGCACTCTCGGCCGGAGAGCATAAGCCCTGTGACCCGTGACCCGCACTGCCCGGCCCCCCGCGGACCTGAGAACACGGAGCTCCCCACTGCCTTCACCCCGCCCCCCTCACACGCCCGCCATCACAGCCCCCACCTCGGGGGACCCAGCTTCTCGGCGGCGCCTCGCACAGTCCCAGGACTCACACCCGTGGGCTTCACATGCACACACCTCCCACACCCACACCTCAAACCACAGGCACACGCGCACACAGCACACGTGCATATTCACTCATCTGCCAAATACCTCACACGCACCCCACACGCAATATGCTTACACATGCACACACGGCGCACACATGTGCGCACATGGCGCACACACACACACCTGGAAACATACACAAGCCTCCCGCTGTCCACGACCAAGCAGGTCTCCTGCTCGCTGCCTTGCGTGTGCCGCGTGCACACGGGCCGCGGGCCTGGGCCTGGGGGCTGGGCCTGGCTCCCTCCTGCCACTGGCCGGGCGTGCGCGACGCCCTGCACGCGGGTGGAGTCGGGGACGGGCCGGCGGTGGCGGCCGGCGGGGGAGGGTCCTCACCTACGTCTCTCAGGCTCCTCACGGTGACGGCGAAGCCCTTGGTGCGCGGCAGCAGGTGGTGCTTGAGGCTGGGCAGCCCCTTGGCCTGGGCCACCTGCATGCTGATCTGGTGCTTCTTCTCCGTGAAGCGCGTGCCCTCGCAGTGGATCAGGAACTGGAAGGGACGGGGGGTCAACACGCCGGGCACCACGCCACGCAGGCCGCCCGGTCGCACGCGCAGACGGGGCTCTGGGCCGCCGAGCCCTGCCCTCGGGCCCCGGGTGGCCGCCCCAGGCCCCAGGCCGCCCTCTGTGCTCGTCTCGCGCTCGGGGAGAGACGGCCGCCCGAGACTGGCGAGTCGAGCCGTGAGTGTGAGGGACACGCGCATCCTGTGTGTGTGAGGGAAAGAGCGTGGGGGGTGACGAGAGTGTCTGCAGGGTCTCTGTGCACCCTAACTTCAGAGGAAAGGACGGCAGGGCACAGTGGGGAGGCCGGTGGTAGGGGTGCGGCTGTCAGGCTGTTCCTTTGGAGCCACTGAGCTGGGGGGGTTAGGGGGCTGGTGGGGAGCATTGTGGGCTGGTGGGGTCTGGGATGGCTGGTGGGGGCAGTGGGGACTGGTGGGGGGCAGTGGGGGCTGGTGGGGGGCAGTGGGGACTGGTGGGGGCCACGGGGGCTGGCCTGAGCAGGAGGGCCTGGCATGGTGTGGGAAGGGCTGGAGGGGGGCCCAGGGTGCTGGTGTGGGGTGTGTCCAGTGGGGGGACCCTGGCTGGTGGAGGGGGCTGGCAGGGGGCGGGGCCTGCGCAGGCCAGGGGCTCACGCACAAAGTACTTCTCGGGGTAGTCGCGCAGGTGCAGCAGGCTCCGGGAGACGGTGGTGCGGTCCTGCTCCCACTTGCGCGTGCAGAAGACCATCTCGGTGAAGTACCACATCCAGCCGATGATGGGCACGTAGGCCAGCTCCTTCTTGGCCAGGACTTTGGAGCCCTGAAAGAGAGGGGCCCGGCGTCCGTGAGAGGGTTACGGGGCCCTGTCCTCTGGGTCCAGAAGCCCCAGGGAAAGTTCCAGAACTCAGTGTCCTGGACCCTAGAGGCTCTTAGCACTGAGCAGCTATCAGCGAGAGGCCAGGGCTGCTGATGGGGGGGTGGGGTGGGTGTGTGTGTGTGTGTGTGTGTGTGTGTGTGTTAGGGTTGTGGGCTAGTGCTCAGCCAGAAGGGCGGCTCCACCAGTCGGGACACCAGGGTCCTGGGGACAGGCCAGGAGCGAGGGGTCTCCTAGGACCATGGGGGTTCGTGTGGGGCAGCTGAGGGCCCCAGGGCTGAGGCCGGAGAGGGGCTGCCTGACTGCCCGAGACCCCAGCCAGGCAAGACAGCTGGGGAGCAGCGTGCACCCTGCTTTTTCCCTTTAAAAACAACAAGCTCCTTCCCTGCAGGGCAGTCTCCACGTTTTCTGGGTTTGCTTTGTTTTCCCCACAAATCCAACATGCAAACTGTGTGGAAGAGGATGAAGCCGCACAGTGGGGCCTGGTCCCCTGGTCCCCTGCTGGCACAGGAGCCAGCCCACTGCTGGGCTCCAACTCTGGGGGCCGAGCACCCCCACTTCACAGCTGGCAAACTGGGGCTCAGACAGGTCCTGGCACGGTGACGCAGCTCTCGGGGGGCACATGTTCTGGGGCTGCTGGGAAGACTTTGATCCCCCAAATGAGACGTGGCCAGAGGTCTGGCTGTTTTGCCGGCCACAGGCTGAGGCCAGAGAGGCCAGTCTAGAAAGGCCGAGCCGTGGCCGCTGCAGCAACTGGGCCACCCCTGGCTGCCCAACGCTGCAAGGCCGAAGCCCTGGAATCGGGGTGTCTGTGCCTTGAGCAGATGGGGCCTGAGTCCTGTGACTGGCAACAATCCTTCCTCGCTCTGCTCAACACGAGGTGAGGTGTTGTCCTGGCCGGGCTTTCTCTGTTACGAACGAGGTGGCGATGCCTGTGACCCCAGAGCATGAGAACAACTGGGGTCCCCGCTCTCCCACTGGAGCCACTGAATGCCGCCCGCAGTCACAGGGGGTGTCAGGCTGGGCCCCTCCCGCCTCGGGTCTCCGGTCTGCCGGATGTTCTGCTCCTGCATCCTGAGGGCCGGGCCCTCCCCGGAGACCCAAGTCTGCCCTGTGGGCAGTTACGATGCCCGAAACATCGCACACACCTGAGCTCGGCCAGGCACTCTGTGGCACCGGGAAGGGGGAGAGGAGGTGACCCCTCTCTAGCCGGGAGGGGGCTGTGCTGGCTCGGAAGCGGGTCCACCCCATGAACCCCGGGGTTCAACATCGTGGCCTGGGATGACCTGCTGCTGGAAGGGGGCAGGTGACACGGTGCGGCCAGCGCAGAGCCTGGGGTGGGCCCAGGGCCGGGCGGCCAGCACCGGCCGACCTCAGAGCACCGAAGGCCGGTCTCATCCCCACGGGAGACGGGCGGGGGACGCCGGTAGCACCACACCCCAGACACCACATTACACTCGGGAGCGGCTCCGCAAGCAGCAGCCTGGGGGGCGGGGCTGCTGCCACGTGCTCACGTAAATAAAGTTTTGTTGGCCACACGTGTGCTCGCTGCCTGCGGCCGCTCCTGTCCAGCCTGCCCACCGCGGGCACCACCTGCCAGTTACTCAGTTTGCTAACCCTGCGTTAGAGCCAGTACCGTGGGCTCTCTGCACACATCTAACCGCTGGGGAGATGCTAACCCTAGAAAACAAGATTTTTTAAAGGCCTGGAATCCAAGCCTAGTCTATAGTCAAAGATGATAATATAAAAAAGCACAACAGGGCCTCCCCGGGGGTGCAGCGGTTGAGCGCTGGGTTGCGAAGCTGCCCGCAGCCTCTGCGGCGCCGGTTCGATCCCCGGCTGCTCCCCGGCCACCAGAGGAGGGTCCCACATGGCGCCCAGACCTCTCCTGCCGCCTGCTGCTCCCCTCAGCAGTGTGCTTCGGGCCTTCTGCCTGCTCTGCTCCCCGCTCTGGCTCTGGTGAATTCTCTCACCCTCCCGCGCTTCTGACTGTGCCCAGTGCATGTATAAACAAAACAAACAAACAAATAAATAAATAAATAAACATGCCTCTATTTAAAAAAAAAAAAAAACACAACAGGGACCTGAAGACCCCAACACCTGTCTGCTGCAGGTGCAGCCACGCCTCACCTCACAATTAAATATGCAAAACCAGAGGAGGGCCCCGCCCCAAGGCCTGCAGGAGGACAAACTAGGAGCCCGGAGTTTCCTGTTTATTCTAAATTCTGCAGTTCAGACTCTCACCTGGAGATTCAACAGTCACAGACCCACAAAGACGACAGCTCTGAGGGGCGGCTGGCTGGCCCGTAGCAGCCGCAAAAGCCTGGAGACAAGGCAGAGGCCGCAGCCACGAGGGGAGCTCAAATCCAAGCACCGCCAGCTGCGTGGCCCAGGCAGACTAATTAAGCTCTTTCACTTCACTTTTTAAAGGGGTCCCCGGTGCACTACCCCGCGTAAGAGTCTGAGGATGAAACAGCCTCTCGTAGCCACGGTGCCGGGCACCAGCTCACAAGACGCTCCCCCTGAGCCCAGACCAGGGCGCAACGCAGCGGGCTGCGGCCCTTTTTTCGCGCAGAAAGCCTGGGGGCGCTTCTGCAAGTCCTGCACCGTCAACAGCAAAAAGGCAGCCGCGGGGTGGAACAGGAAAGGGTGTGGCGAGGGCGCGCGGTCAGACTCACCCCTAGAACCCCAAAGCGTTCAGCCAGGCTCCAGCCGCAGAGAAAGTCGATCTCGAACTTGTGGTTGAGAACCACGATGGCGTTTTCCTTCCCGAACTTGGGGTAGGCCTGGGGGTCCGTGTGGATGACGCAGTCGGTGCCTGACCACCACTCCAGCAGCATCACCAGCTCTGGGAGGAAGCGCAACAGACAGAGGTTTAGGGCGCACTTCCCTGGCCCCTGCGGTCCGGCTGGGGCCACGCCACCCTCGGGCCAGCCCGTGTGGAAACCGCTTCCAGGAAAGCTCTGGACCCGCTCAGCCCAGACCCAGTCTTTGAACGGGTTTAGAAGCAGAAGGAAAAAACGAAAAGGCCGCTGGAGGGTGGTGGGGGTGGAGAGGAGGCCTTGATGCAAATGAGCCGCATGCCTCCATTCAGGACCTGGAGAAACCAGCCGGGAAAGCAGGAAACAACTCAGAAGACGGTGTGGGGTGATGCACAGTCCTGAACATCCGGGAAATGACTCACTGGGACACTTGACTCCAGCAAAGAAGACTCCATGCCCATTTCTTCTCTCCCGTTTATTTACCACCCTCGGGCGAGCGGAAGTCCCAGCCCCGAGGACACGGACCAACGAGGGCGTGGGGGCCGGGAAGCAGCTCGGGCATGCGTTGCAGGCGCAGGTGACAAGAGAGAAGTCGAGTTTTACACAAGCACCACAAAATTCACCCTGTTCTTCAGGGAGACGGTCAGTCCCCACCAGGTGTGGCCAAGTGTGCGGTGGAAACTGCCCAGGAGGACAGTGGACGTGGAAGGACTGGTGAGCGGGAGGGCCCGGCAGCAGCACGGGTGGGGCGAGTCCTCCGTGAAGGTCATCCTTGTCAGTCTCCAACTAGTGCAGGACGCGTGCGTGTTTGGTGTCTGTACATGTGTGTTCATAGTGCATGCATGTGTGTCCAGGTGTGCACATTTAGCAAAGGACTCACTCTATCACCTGCACCCCTACACACACACACACACACACACCCCATGTGTGTGTGCAGGCACTTGTGCACATGCATGCACACACAGCAGACTTGTGCATGCCTTTATGCACACCTGTACACATATGTAGGAACCACGAATGTATGCAGGCTGACACTCAATATGCACATTCATGTGTGTGTGCACAGATGTGTGTTTTACATGTGTGGATACATGCATGCATACTACACACACACACACACACACAGAGCTCTGGTCTTGACGCCAGCCAAGCTCATGTTTTAAAGGGTTGGGTGGCGGCTCTTGCAAACCCTCCGCCTTGAGGCTGCAGATTGAAGTTTTGAACTAGAGAACCAGAACTCTCCAGAAGACATTTCTGTCTCGTGTCTAAGCAATGAGCACTAGTGCCTGGCTCCTACTGGGATCATCACTAACACACACTTCTTGACAATGAGGAGCGTCCGCCTGTATTCCTAGCGGAGAAGATCCTTGTCCCCTGTCCCTGTTTCAGGCAGTGACACAGGCGGGACCTAGAGCTGGAAGCCAGGACGAAGGGCAATGCCTGGGGGTGCAGCAGGGACCAGAGCTCAGTGTAAGTCCCAGCAGGGTGGCCCCGCGGCCAGGACAAAGGGGCAGCTTCTCCGCCAGGGCAGGGAGACACTTGTGTTGAAGCACCGGCCCTTCTAGGAGACAGGACCCGGCCAAGCCTGAGGGTCACAGAGCCAAGGCCCCAAGCAGGGAGCACAAGGAGGCCAGCACGGGGAAGGGGCTGGTTCCAGGGGCCTCAGATGCTGCAGTGATTCCAGAAAAACTTCCCAAATGCCCCTGTGAGCTCACACCCTCTCCCCAGGGGTCACCAAGCGTGTGCTCCAGCCGGACATTCTCCCCCGAGGAGAACACACACCCAGCCCGCGAGGCCAGGGCGGCCTGTTGGCTTCCCCGGAGCCTGGTCTTCCCACCAGAACCCAGCACGCTTGTGCTTCCAACAAGCACAGCTTGGGCCCCCTGCGAGGGCCCGGGCCAGAGACACAGCCCGGCCCACACCGACAGGTGTGACGCCTCCCTCTGGGAGCCACGGCCTCCAGGCAGGCACCGGGCAGGGAAGTGTGTCCCGGGAGTGGCCGAGTCGGAGCCACGGACACAGCCAAGGTCCAACCCTGGTGGTGCTGCTCTTGGGGTGAAAAGGGGCTTCTCTCCCAAGGTCCCCTAAGCCTCAGCATCCTTGTCTGGGAAGTGGGGATCAGACGGCTGAGCCCCAAGCACGCTGCTGCACACAGCAGGCCACGGCCCATGGCTCTCTGTGCACAAGTCTCTGTGACCACGGGGGCGAGAGGAAGAGGCGTGGGGGCCGGGGGGAGCGCGCGCGTGTTACATCCTCGCGGGACCGGCGTCAGGAGGGCTGATGTACGGTTTCACAGTGACGGCGAGGAGCCGCCGCCGCCGGAGCATTCTGAAAGGGGCGCACAGGCATCCAGTTCGCATTTTGAGGAGGCGGCTCTGGCCGAAGAGCCCGGCGGTGGCGCGGGGCGAGGCGGGGGCCGGGAGCCCCCCGGGCCGGAGCAAGGCCTCGTCTCTCCCGCGCGTCGAGAGGCTGCGGGCAGGCAGGTGCACGCTGCCCTCACGGGTGGAGGGATCACGTTCCTCCTGCCCCTTTCATTCTCCAAAGGGTTTTCTTTTCTTTTTTGCGTTCACAAGAAACGCACCTACGTAGTGACACTGCAAAGGAGCCAGGCTGCACTACCTTTCCCAGAAGCCCCTTTCTTTTGTTTCCGGGTAAGGGAGGGTCACGAGGGGAGCCTTGGGCGAGCCAGCAGGTGGAGGGGAAGCTGCAGCACCCGGCTGCACGGCCTCTGCTGATGCCCCTCCTCACCCTGCAGCCGTAGCTGGGCTGGCGCCTGCTCCTCCGCCCACCCCTGCTGCTTCTCTGGCCCTGGCGGGGAGGGGGCGCCTGCTCTGGATGAGCTTCAGCAGAGGCTCCCCCACTAATTCAGGCCCCCAATAAGTCAGGGACCCACCATCAGCTCTGCTCCCCTCCCTCCACCACCAGCTCAGATGCGACGGGGACAGGCCGCCTCCTCGTCTCCCCTCCCAGGCTGCAGAGCCCGCAGGTGCCCCCACTTCCCAGGCAGCACCCCTGCTGCCTGCCTGCCCCGAGGGGTGCCGCCAGCTGTCCAGAGGCAGCCTGAGCAGCCCCCACAGCGGGACCAGGGCCGTCCTGGGACCCGGCGGAACCCTGCTGAGGTGCTGCCGCCCCCACCCAAGCCCCACGGCCCTGCCCAGGGCGAACGGTCAGGAACAGCGCGTCCAGGGCCGGCCATTCCCCAGACACAGGCAGACTCGCACACGCGTCCCCCGCAGACGCGTTCACTCTTTCCCAATCGTCCGAAACACGAACAGACCGCTGTTTTCCGCAAGGGGAAGGTTCGGCTCTCCTCACGCTACTATCTGCCGAGCTCCGGCCACACGCGGGGCACTGTTCAGGCCCAGAGGGGCCCGGGCTGCCTGCCGCGGTCGTCCCGAGGGGCTCTCGCGGGAGGATGTGGATCGGAGGAGCTGGACGAGCCAGGGCGCGGGATCTGGAGGTTCCGGCCCCGGACAGACCAACGTGGCAGCAGCACCGGGCCTTGGTGCTGAGCAGGTGCCCAGACGGTCTGCCTGTGGGCACGTCCGCCTGGGACACCGCCCGACACATCGCTGGGCACGGGGCGGGCGTTCTGCCCAGGCCCGGTGCAGACAGACGGCCCCGGTGAGTGGAGGGCGCTCTGGCTGGCCCTGGGCAGCACAGAGGTGGGGGCGCAGGAGACACACCGGGAGATTCAGGCGGTCACTGGGGAAGTGGGTGGGGCGTGACAACTCCTCGGTCAGTTGTGCCAGGTGAAGAAACTTCCAGATTCAGGGCTTTCCCTCATCTCCACGCCCTGGCGCCCACAAGTGCTGGGCTGTGAGTGGGCTGAGGAGGTGGCCCCGAGGTTGAGTCAGGGGCTAGAGGGCATGAACAGCAAAGGCAAAGGGGCAGGAGCAGGGAGGAGCCGCCCTCGTCCCCAGGCTGCTTCCCTCGCGTGGCCTCCAGGGACCCGCATTGTCTCCCGAGGGTGTGGCGTGCTGACCTCTGGGTGGGCGGCAGCCCCAGCGCCCTCACTGACGCATCTGAGCCCCCGGGCTGACCCATCCGGGAACCTGGGCTGCCCCGAGCCGGGGCCCAAGGCTGTGGTCTGGAGCCAGCCCACTGGCCTCTCTAGGCAGATGAGTGGCCAGCGGGTCCACATGTGATGGGAGGCCGCTGGGGTCACGCAGGCAGAGCCACACCCCTCCCTTCTCTGGCTGCGGGGGGTCGAGTCAGATTCTGTCGGCGGCAGTGAGAGAACTTGGTCTCTGGCCCAGGAAGGAGGCCGGGCCGGGGCCACCCTCCCCTCTGCTCCGGGTCAGCTCCGTCCAGGCTGCCTTCAGCAGCGCTGCTGTCTGTCCCCGGCCTCAGGAGCGCCCCACGCTGCCGTCAACACAGACCTGGCCAGAACCCACAACACCCCCAAGCCGTTTCATTCAACCTCGACGGGACGGTTGTATTTGTTCACGCAGAAGATGCATCAGGCGCCTGGCACACAGGCGGGAGGGGGCGGTGGGCTGAGGACCCGCCACCGACCTGGGGGTCCCCTTGTACCATGTGACCTGGCAGGTTTTTCTGGGTCCCCTGGACTCGTTACCTCATCACCAAGCCAGGCGCTGCCCTCTCGGAGGCCCCGGTGTGAGCCGACCTGAATCGTAGCTTTGCCTCCCCCGGCCTGGGGGTGCATCTCCAGCTCCCTCGGGAGCGAAAGGACACCCAGTTCAGGTTTCTCCCCAGAGGGGTGGGTGGGGGGAGCGGGCAGGGCCTTGGGTGAGCACCAGGGACTCCTAACACACCAGGGCTGGGCCAAGTTTTCAATACACTACACCAGTTGTGCTGCCGTTGGCCGCTGTAAAATGGTCCGTTTGCAGAACTGTGCGCTTTTACTTTTCTGTGCTGGGGGTGGCGGCAGCGTCAGCAGCTCCCGAAGGCTTCGTCCCAGCTGTCGGCCACCCCTGGTATCTGCTCTCGGGGCCACCCCGGGCTCCCCACAGTTGCCCATTTTGCCAACCCCACTGGGAGACCTGAAGGGGCTGATTCCACGAGGGGCCTGCGTGCCGGGGGCGCCTCTCTGGAAAATCCCAACCTCGATTTCGGGGGCCAT